AAACTTTGCTAGAAAGTCAAGCAAATCTAAATGATTTCCAAACTTTCTGAATGACGACATTTCCTTGTTTATTTTCAGAACGATAAATTCTGAAGATAAAATGCCCTGTAAAAACTCAATTGAGAACAAGAAAGCTATATTAAGCGATATTACCCAACAAAAATACAGAATATTGAGGAATGAATAAATACAAAAAACAAGCAACTTCAAGTAAATATACAGTATACAAACTCACATTCAATAAGTCGAGTGAATAATCACCCAAAAAATGGGATACAAAGCCTTTAAAGCTACCAGAAGTGCACGAGGAAAAAAACGAAAAAAAGCGGAATGGAAATATCTAATGCAAGCTAAAGTATACGTTGCAGAGAAGACTAATATGAGTCCTGTCGCCATGAGTTGGTGCAATCAATATTAGCAAAAACGTGTTATCTTGTTTGAACAAAAGTTTTTAAAAAAATCTAATCACTATTGAAAGACATCTCGGTGTGTCCTCTAAACGATGTCTTTGAATTATTGCATGCGACAGCATGCCTCCTTATCTTAACAAAGTTTGAGATTTTAGTGCAACGTCAGCAAAATTCCATTGTCTTTTGGGAACAGGATCCCTATGGCAACCATGATTTTAGTGATCATCGCATTTTGATTTACAATTGTTTCTTGTGTCATACACTTCGCTGCAGAATGTATGGCTTGAATGCGAGTGACACGCACACCTGAGCGACTCCTGAGGTATGACATTTTAGGGTAATGAATCGTACATCAATTATTAGGAAGGCAGTGAAGTCTATCAATTTCCGCATTGCACGGCAACAAGTGACTCAGTGTATGGCGTTCTATTGCATCTCGCTATTAGGCTGGTTATTTCGTGCGTTTTTTTTGGTGTAAGGATTAACAGACTGATAAGAAAAAGCAGTCTTTGGATTGGAAGAAAAACTGATGCCTCCAGTATTTCTACGGATATAAGTGATTATGGATCAATTTTACTTCACCGGTCTGTTTACAACTAGGCCTGTCCATACCATTTTAGGTTCTTTCTGTAAAATTTATGAATTTTTCCTTTGGTACTTGCTAGATTCCTTTCGTTTCATGACCGATGACTTGCAAGGTGATCACTTGACACACCTCGTCAGAAATATCTGCTTCAAATATTTGACTGTTTGTTTGCGAAGGTCCACCAGAAAAGATTAAAAGACAAGTAATAAATAAGAACAAACCAAATATTCGCCATCAGATCGATAAACTCATTTTGTTTAAAAATGATTAGGGACTGCCAAAAGACTGCAGATCCTCCAAAAACAATGATCGGTACCATCACTATAAATGCCAAGAATTATGCATTACCTTCCCATTTTCCTTGAAATTCAATTATTCACGTTCGTAGGTGTCTCATATTTTACAGTTTAATCACTTAAAACTTAATTTTCGCCTGAATTCTTTGCTTAATTTTGCACGTTTCATAAAATTGTTTGTACAGCACCTCTCCGTTCTTGCCGTACAAATGATATTTCTCCCGGCTTCACTTCCTGTGGTCAAAGCTGCCTCTAGTTGACTGACGCGGTCTGGCCCAGGTAAAATTGTGAATAGATGCAGAAATTTTAGTTTATGAAGTAGCAACTATCTCTTGAGGTGAATAATAAAAAATAGCTAGGCCCATTTGTCATGGTTTTATTGCCATTTCTTTATTTGATATCTAGGTATTCGCTGAACACTTTGGAAAACTTCCTGAACCTAGTCTTCTGCTTGTGCATGTGGCGAATAAATTTATTCATATGGCGAACCTAGCCTTCTGTATAAAGCATTTGAAGTTTGAAAGCTTCTGTTCTATTACAGGCAAAAATTCCTAAAATCCTCATAATATACTTTGTTTCTACACCTGGAGTTTGGCAGATAGAAATCTATTCGTAATGATGGCAAAAACGGGAGCTCATTTGATGTTGCTAATACTTTTTCACTATAAGTTGTCTCACTAAGCTATTTTGTTCTGTTATTGTTGATATCGTGGTGATAATCAAGTACTTCTTGTGTTTGTCTCTGTCTATTTCTGTGTACCGCCATCATACAACTTAACTTTGGCATTTTTCCTTTCCTCAAGCGCATGCATTTCATAACGTATCGTTACTTCTAGTTCTTAGATTTATTCCATTTGCTTTCCGTACAGCAAACATTAACAAGTAGAACAATAAAACCAAATGCGATAGTGCCGCTCAGTGGCGGAGCCACGGAGGAAATGGGGAACTAGTGCCCACCCCACTTTTTCAGAAAGTTGGGGGGGGTATGTACGTTATGTTGATCGTCACATTGGAATGAGATTTCTTGGGAGACAAGGAATCTTTCCTTCGGAAGAAAATGGGCAGGGAAAAGGGGCGTGGGCTCTGACACTCCTTTTGTCCCCCCCTCCACTTATCCAAGGCTGGAACCACCACTGGCACCGCTACATAGACTATGGGTTTAAGTAATATTTTTAAAAGGAACGGGAATCACTTTTCAAATTCCGCAACAAAGCTTCAAAATACAAAACATGTAAACCAAGCAATGCTAGGAAGTGAAAAATATTGATATGGTGTCAGCGAATCGTCTTCGCGCGTATTTTTTGCCAATCCCAACTTTTATCGCCCTTTTCTTCAAACTTTGTACATTCAAACTAGTGCACCAGCTCATGGCGACATGACTCTAGCGGTAAGACTAATATAAAAAGCTGTCACATGAGGCCAAATAAAAAGTAAGCTAATACAATTTCCAATTAAATATATTTTGGGCTGTTAAAGAGTTTAGTAGCCATTACCTGAAATTCATTATGTTTGGTTGATTCCACCACTGTGTGCGAAATGAGCTGCATTTTTGCAATCCTAGGGCGAATTAAATTTATTACAAGAGGAAGATGACATGTTTGATTTGGTTCCATGTTTTGACCAAACAGCAATTTAGTTCCACTCTTTCGAACTTGCTAAACTACAAGCCTCGAAACTCACATCAACTTGGTCCAAATAAAACTAAAATAAACTTTACTTTAAAATCAAATTTAATCTTTCCAAAAATTGTTCTGCTGAATACACAAAGCTGTTTTCTTAAAAATTGCTTCTAGACAGAACATTACTTATCAAATGGCATCTAATAATTGTAGGATGTACTTCACATTTTCACGCCACACTAAGGCTGAAAATAAAGCATCTGATTAATTTCCGTTGCTCATAAAGACTTTGATGATAGAGCAGTCAGTCTTTGATGAAATAATTTAAATGATTTAAAAAAACATAAATTGTCAAAAATTATTTCAGACTCTCGAAAATGGCAAATTTATGATCAATTGGTTTTTAAAGCTTAATGCACTCACCAGATTGTATTAACATTAAAGATACCTTCCTTAAGAAAAATTCTACGCTTCAAGTTGCTAGTAGGTGCTACACAGACCCTGCCATTGGAGGTGCGGCTCAGCACGCGCTATAAAGCACCTAGAAGCGTTGTTCACTGCGCGCCTGGATTAAGATTTTAATCATACGAAGTAATGGAAATTTGCTTCCCATTATAAGCAATGACAAACTTAGGAGTAGGGCAGAAAGATTCTTTCGCGCTCTACTGAAGTTTATTTGGAGAAAAAACGGATGGTTCACCTTTTAACAGAGGGGGATTCCGTCTGAAATTAGCGATACGGAATAGGGAAACGATTTATTTTAAGTTAGATTTATCTGAAGAGAAAAGTGAAATATTTGGCAGAAGACTATTACTTTTGTAGGCTACTTACTTTTGCAATGGTGAATAAATATTTTTTTAAGTTATGACTTAATTGTTTTAGTTGTTATATCTTCTTCCAATGAAAGTTGCCATGCTTTCAACATATTGTTTTTACAGCGTGTTATCATATTTGAATACCACAGGTCTCAAATAAGGGTTTTAGTTCGAGGCATGCATTTATTCCTGTGCCTATTGAAAATCAGACGACAAGGTCTGGTTCTACATTTTTTGCTCAGTTATAGTCTCTTTTGACAGGTTGTTTAATAGTGCTTGTTTAGGCCGATTTTGTGCATATCAAGAACCAACCAAATATAAACTGGACAATTAGAAAAACAGAAAAAATGACTTTAAACATGTTTTATTTTCAAACTTAAACTGTTTTGCTTCTCTTCCACATCTGATTTGCAATAATAATATATATTAGAATATTTAAACTATAGTTAATTGAACTAATTGATTTGCTAGAACTAGTCCATTTAGCCCTTTGATTTTACAATGAAGACTATGATTAAGCTGAGTAGGTTAAGCTTTTCCATCATACCTGGGTTAAAGACGATATTTTTTCAATGCAGTTTTTTCTTTATTCACTTAAAATTTTTACAAAACATACACAAATTTAGCAGACGATACCACAGAGAGCATGGAATGCAAAGCAACCCTGTGGCAATTTACAATCAACATGAGTCTAAATTAACTTTAATTCAAAGATGCAAATTGAACGAAAAGAACAAATAGAAACTCTTTCTAGAAAGATGGGAGGAGAGAGGAAAAATGTTGTTTGTATCACCAATTTATTCAAAATGTTTAGAGGCCTGCATATATTTTAGCGTTGCAGCGATAATTTACGAATTTGATTCGAGTGGTAATTCTTCAAAGACATGAAGGATGATATTTAGCAGATCTTCTTTTGAAAGAATTATCGAATATCGCATGAGGCAACAATATCGCAATTACACTGTTGAGAAGATCACATCTCGTCTCGATCTTGTAGATAAAACTGAATTAAATTGTATTGCATTCAAAATTTTTCTACATTTGAAAGCAGGCAGCTGCTACTAAACATTGATGAGTTTCGCATCACAAGCTGACTTTTGACAGGTTTTGAAATTGATCTTGTTACAGCTTCAAAACTGAGCCGAAATCTCCAAAATTTCTAAATGGAAATCTCAGTTTACTTTTAAATGCAGCACGTGACATATTTTTTGCTTGGCATTTCGACGGTATAATAATTCTGAATAAGCAATAGATTTTTGGTCAACATCCTAAACGTCTAGTTAGGTTCAGGTGCTTATTAATCGGATTTTCAAGGTGATTTGGGATTTTGTGTTTGACGATTACTGTAGTCTTTGGTGGGGTGATTTTTACGGGTCAATTATACGGTACTCTATGTAACTATTGCGAATAGTAGCTTGCTCAAGTATGACTGACTTTCCACTGCGCAGGATATATTTTTATTGTTCTGAAAGAAAGGGGAGTGAGCAAAGGGCCTATAAATAATGGAAAGGCATTAATTGTCCTTGAAATTCAAATAAAGCAGCGATTCCTATATGCCACAATTTGTGAGCGTAGCACAGAACATGCCAAGAGTCGCTCCTTAGAAATAACCAGATTATAAAGAATTTGAAATTTGACCGTCAAAATCATTATGTGGTCTCGCTGTTGGTAATTAATTTTTCATATGCTCGAAGCAAATTTTGGCCTAAGAACACATATTGTTGTTGATAAAGTGCTTTTTTCAAAGACTTTAGGATGGTGTTTGCTTAAACTTTTCTTCCATAAAGATGTCAACGATGACCTGCGTTACTCTTTTTAAATGCAAAGACAACTGTTTTTACTGAGACAGATGAAATAATAATTGAATTAAGTGCTGTACGGTAAGAAAAACACGTACTTTTTGGAAGCTTTTATTCTATACTTTTAACATGTCACTCTTTCGAGAATCGTCATGAACTGTCCAAATTTGCTAGGATTCAGTAGATTCTAACGACGATGGCATATGCTTGTGAAGCAATACAAGACTTTGAATACAGTTTTGCTGATCTATGGCTGTTGACTCAATACAATCACGACATAAAGGTGCTAATGTTTTTATGCCTGAAGTAAAAATTATATAAATTTTACTCGCTAGTTTAAATAACAGAAATATTATAAAACTGTTCACTCAACTATTATGCAGTTAATTAGGCCGCTATTGATTTCAATAAAAGCCATCATCAATCAATGCTCCAAACACAAGAAGGAAAATTATTTAATGAATGAAAGAGAGAGTTGATTAAAATGTTTTTTTCTTTTTTTTGTGATTGATATCATTTTAAAAATAAGAATTGATGTAACGATGTATTGATTGATAATTTGTCATTTTATATTGTTTTGTTCTTTTAAACTAATATGAACGAGGATTTTCTAGCTTATGCTATATCAATTCAAACTTGGGGAAATAGGGATTTTTCCCAGACAGTTAGTTTCATGATCAATCATCGATTTTTTGTAATTTTGACTTTAAGATAAGTCAATTTTTGCGCTGGTTCTGGACAACTATAAGAAAATCAACCTAAGTTTGTTATCACAAGTACAACATAGCGGCAAGCTTCAAAGAGTCGGCTAAGCGAGATGGTAATCATATTGATTTTAGACTGTCCAAAATTAATAGTTGCAGCTGATTTTAGAAATCTAGAGAGGCTGATTGTGCTGTTCACACAGAAAGAGGCTATTCTAGATTAATGACGAAACTGCGTTTTCGAAAATCACTGTAAAACATGATTATAAATTTTAATAATTTAGTTCACAGTTTGCCAGTTATGTTGAACGTTTAGAAATTTGTAAAAATGAACTTTGCCGTTATATTTTAGCTGCATATTTAAATATTTTCACGGTTCTGTATATGTATATGTATCTATAATAATGAAATATGAATTATTTCATTTGTAGTGGAATAATTCATATCAAAGATATTTCTTAAGATCTCGATCCAACTAGTATTTTCGTTTTCAGTTACCAAACTTCTACGAGTGATTGTAAATAATAGTTTCCTTATTCTAAATTTGATCTTTCGGAAGCATTTATTTGAAAAAGCAAGCAACAAATTGAACTAAAAAACATTATTTCTTTTTTATAATTACGTAACTGTTCTTAACTTTTGAATTTGTAATTTGACTTTGCTTTCAATTTTAGAGTTAAAGAGCCACGCTTGTAGTGGATATGCTCGATTGTACCATCATTATTATTAGTATTATTATATTATTATTATTATTATTTGCCTCCTTTTCCTGCCAGTATCTTTATCAGAATATGGCACAAGCTTGCAATGGAAAACAACTTGCTTCTTACTCTGCCTTGCCGAGTCAAAAATGAATTGAATTGTCACCAATTCTAATTTTATCATTCTCTAGACTTTTTTGTGATTTCTTATGATTCAGTCCCCGTTCATTCTGTTGCTCAGGATCTACGTAAAAAATCGCAGTTTTTTCTTGATATTTTTTAACATAAAACAGAAGCTTCTATCTCTGAAAGCAAATATCTAATTAAATATTACAGTATTCTTCTGGCGTTTTGGCCAAAAGCTCAAAGCTATTTTGTAAGTAAACAAAGTTATTAATTGTTTATAGAATAATAATAACCTTACTAACGCTATTTTTCATAATAATTTTTATAGGAGATATTGCTATCCTCATGAATCCTATCGCCAATATTCAAAAGATTCATGTTTATATCTTCTGCATTTTAATAATCTGCCGCAAATATATCAGTATTGACAATAAAATATAACAGAGTAAATTTAATCTTTAAATGACTTTGTAAACAAACGCTAAAACATTGCCAAAAATATCAAGTTTTTGGATTTTTTCATCAATTTTTTGTTTTCTGCATTCATATAACTGTAAATAAAATACCATTCTATACATATATTATATGAAACTTGTTCACAGTAGCAAGCTTGTGTCAAATTAAGTCAAATTTTACCTAGAGTTTTGCTAGAATCATTTTACAAAAATTAATAAGATTTTATAATTTTATCTTATGGTTAAAAGAACATTTTTTTCTTTAAATTTGCGTATGTTTTTTTTAAATAAATGTCTGTATCCTGGGTCACAAACTCTTTTGAAAATAGCCAAGCTCGATTAGTTCGATTTTTCCTTAATGACCCTTCCATGTGCAATGCACGTGTAGATAATTTTAGCGCTGCTAAAAATCCCACCGTATTGATGGCGTATTTTTTTAAATCAGATTACTGGATGTTGTTTTGAAACAAGATTGGATTGATGTAAGAATAAATGGGCTCCTACCACCTGCCCGAATAACTATCAATGTCTACGAGTGTTTGGTGTTCTGCTATGAGAGGCATTCTTAAAACATTCCACCTACTTGATTCAATCAAACCGTCATGTTTGCTTTAAATTACCATTTATATTAAATTCATGCATGAGTTACGTTGAGCATAGATAATAGCTTTGAAAGATTTTGAATTCAGTCTTCCATATAGGTATATTTCTATTTCTACGTCCTTAGCAGTGTCTCGTGTTACTAGCTGGAATCTTGCTTGCAAAACGGCAATGCGTAGAGCTAAGATTTTTGGCAAAATAGCAGAGAAAACATGCACAAAGTAGGGCAATATGATGCACATGCTCCCAGTGTGCTTTCACAGGAAACTGTGGTAACGATAGTAGCAGATGTCTCCGTCATTTCGTTTTACTCAGGATTGAAAAGAAACAATGAAGATAGACATAAGTCTTGTTGTTTCTATAGAAGAGAGCTTCATTGATCTTTCATTCCCATTTAACACACGCAAATGTATGCGACAGGTGATGTTTGACTAAAACACCATTTCACTACGTAAACCAGGAGCTGAAGACATAGAAATACGCATCTCTTTCGAATGAACAAAAATGTGCCACTCAGATATGGCGCAAAGGTACAGCTGACGCGCAACATTAGAAGTTCAGGTAACGAAAAAAATCATTGTAAATTGATCATAAATTCTGAGTATATTCGTGAAAATTTTGTTTCCCTTTTTCAAATTTATTCCCTTGATGTCTCTTCCACGTGAAGTATATTCTTTATTGACTTTCTGGTTCCTGCTGATAGCCAAGGAAGTTTTTCTTCAACAAAACGATGTAGATTCGCTGGTCCTTTGTTCAAGCTTGCTAGAAATAGTATAGTTGATTCCTTACAGCAACTTAGCTCCAATCGATTACGTTCTTCCCTGATGTTCAATATCACAGTGGCAGTGTTGCTTTAGATTTGCGGGAGCAAGCTCAGCTAAAATTCCGACAAATTGATGTGTCCAATTTAGGCGTGGTTTTCAAATGTTATTAGAAATGCAGTGTTTATATAAGTTAACCATAGCAATGTTTGTTGCCTTAACAAAACCTCGTGATGAAACATCAGGATTTAATCTCTTCTTTGACTGTTTAAAACTTTGTTGATGTTGCTAAAGACTGAAAAACTGATGCAACCATTATTTATAAATGGTTCGATAACGTGAAATTACTTTAAGAGCATATTACTAGGTGAAACTAGCCCCATTTCCAACATTTTCTGTCATGGTTGAGCTAAAAGGTATGCCAGTTATCTTTTCCAAGTTTTTTATTCTATTTATTTGATGTTATTTTCATGAAACAAGGCGCTGGACCTTCTTAGTAAAGTTGCATAGTTTTAAACATTGCATTATATTGGCAAGTTGGCGGTCTCATAACCAATGCAGGCTGCGTTTCCGTTTTTCAAAATCAAAGTCAGGAAGAAATAATCATTCCTAAAGATTTATAATTATTTTCATCTTTTCGTCGTCAATATTTTTATTTTCTTGTCATCATTATTGTCATATATGTCAAATGTTAAATAGCATCCACTAATGAAGGCTTGTGTTGGTAGAACATGATTGGATAAGTTGTTTTTATTTCTTGTTTGGAATAGAGTCTTGCGAGCTAACGGTACATATGGCGGAAGGAAACAAAGGCGGTCACTTAGCTTTATACTTTGCCTATTATTGGTAATTGAATATGTTAATGAAATGGAATGGATAATGGATTATTTGATGACATATATAAGCGCGAAGAACAAATGTTTCCCAAGAAACAAGCAGCCTCAGAGCAGGCGCGCTAATTGTTGAGCATGCGTACTTGCCTCCCATGTAGCACGAAAGCCAAAACAGAATTTTGACTGTCTTGAGTGTCCGGTTTCTTTTGTATGGCTTAATTGCTTGGACAGTGAAGGTTTCAGCTGTTATTCAATCGTGGTCCAATTAAATTGTTGAGATACAGGTCTTTTCAATTATTAAAATACTAAATGAAATAACAGCTTTGTGATTTGCAAGTAAAATCCGATTATATTAGGTAAAACAGGGATTGAAGGTCTGACTCAAGTCTTTCCCCCTGCGCAAGAGATCAAGTTGGAATGCATGTAACTCTAGGACTTTTTCTCTTGATAGTGACTCTAAAACCTTTGGTGCCATGATCTTTGCAAGTTTTTGTGGACGCCATTCTAAAACCTTCCGTATTACGGAAGTTCTCTATTTTGCTAAAGATGGTAATGTACAGAGTACAGACATTAAAGAATTTCTGTCAGATGGATCGCAGCAATGTTGTCGGGAGACATGTTTATAAGTCCACAAGTGTTGTGTTCGATTTGTTAATGCTTAGAAAGCCAATGCAACTCAATCAACATTGGTTTGCTTCTTGTTGATCTGTTGTAAGAGAGTGCAGGACGTCGATCAATTTACTGCAGTAAAAGTGAGATGTAGACAAATATAACTTGCCAAGAAAACTAGTCTGCCCTTTAGCAGGAATTATTAAACACTCGTTATCATCTGTATGCCATTATTTTGTTTCTACATATATTACCATCATGGTTAAGTGTTGTAATTGTACGCCAAGTGTGATTCCTAAACATGCGCAGAACTCTTCAGAGACTTATTTCCGACGTTGTCCAGCTGCAGGGAATAGACATAGTAATTTATTCAAATGATCCACGTAATTACGTATAAAAGCTAAACATTATCGTCTTCAGGTTAAATCCAGTTTTACCATAAACAAATCCGAGTTGTTGCTGTTCTGCAAAGATTTCAAAACATAAATAATGTAGTTTTAGCAGAAAACAAAGTAAAATGTTTTAAATTTAAACAAATGTTTCATTTTAGGAAAAGAAATCAATTTCAAAATAGTCATGAAGAAAGGGTTCTAATATGCAGTGAAGAGTCTTGTCAACTATTCTTGAACAAAACAACGGACACCAGTTATTCGTATACAGTAATCTTGAACCGGACACCAACGAACATCAGTTATTTGTACACAGTAGAAGCTTATAAGCGGTAGCCACGGTTTCGACACAATGTTTTCGAAATCCAAGTCAATAGAACTTGGCGGTATTCAACCAGAATTCGACTCTAGATACTACGACAGCCAGCCGAGGCGAAAGTCCCATGCAGACATCGAGAAACTAAAGCACATTGCTGACCGCGGAGGGCATGCGAGCAGGAGTCTACAATCATCGCTTCGTTCAGTAGCGTTCGAGATTGGAGCATCCTCCGAAGAATTTTTAGAATACAGGGACGTTGCCAAGTCATACGGGGCTGTGTCAAAATCTCTTATAACTCAAGACACGTTAGATAAGATAAGAGACGTCGAACTCGAAGACGTCCTAATGAATGCACGTAATATTACTGATCCGGATCCTACCGCAAATATGTCCTTCTGCCCAAGGCCGGCAAGAGTTATCGAAGGTTCTTTTAGACATTCCGTTTCTGTCAAGGAAGTTGACTCCAAGACGGGGGCTTTCAGACATCGAACAATCGAAATCCTTAGAAAACCAGAGGATGAGCTTGGATTTAGTGTGAGACGGGGTGATGGTTGGGAAAAGGATGATGGAATATTTGTTTCCAGAATTAATCTGGGTAGTGTTTTTGACAAATTCGAACTTATGAGAGTTGGTGATGAGATCGTCAAGATAAATCGTATTGATATGAAAAACATGGACGTTGAAGACGTGGTTAGGCTGATGCATATTCCAGAGAAACTTTCAATTACTATCAAAATACTGACGCCTTTCTCAAAAAAGAGGATTGCGAACAGCACTATTGCAAACGGTACGAAAACGAGGCAAGCCGGTAAGTTTGATTTCATTGATTCCAAGAATACAAATTCTTCCATTTACAAAATCGCCCATATGAAAATTGGTAAAAGCGTCGAAAATGCCAAGAAAAGCCATGAAACACGTGAGAGCAAAAAGACGGACGCAGAATCGAAAGAGCAAGCAAAAAAAGAAGATTCTAATAAGACAGCAACAGTACAACAGGAAGGTCACCATACAGGACAGGCGCTTCGCAAAGACAGTTATCGCCTATTCGTGAAACCGCATCGGAGGAGCGCGTAAACAAGTCTTCTAGTGCTCTGAATGTTTCAGGGGCAAGACGAACATCTGTGACTTGGCTAGATCAAAGAAGTTTTAATAGTGATCCAGGAAGGTAGCCTTGTGAAGGTACAGTGATGCAGCATGCTTACTAGGACATACTTACCAAGTGATTTAACTCAAGAAGGATAAGATTACAAGATATCCTGGAGCTAGAAGTCATCATATGGATTCAAATAGAAGTATTCCTATAGAATTTTAATGATTCATTCGTGACATAATTTACATTGTGTCTGTGACCAGGAATTGTTCTTCATAGCTATATATGGAATCATTTTAAAATTTTAGCATAAAAAAGGTCAAATCTTGAAATATTGAGTGGTTTATCTTTTGGGAGACACTTCGTTTCCAGCATACATTTCCAAACATGTGTCGCGCACTTAAACCTCCTTTTCAGGCATTTTTGCGGATACCCACTTACTACATGTGATCTTTTTGAATGTCCATTTGTTCATAAAAGACCAGTTAGCAGCTCGGGGGGGGGGAGGGGTACCTTAACATGTTTCAAGATACGGGGTACCTTTACGTGCAGTTATCTAGGGGTACCCTTTTTCTGAGAAGTGCGGAATTATAAGTATCAGTTTTTTGAAATATGTGCGGAACTATCGGTTCTGAATTTTTAAATTTTTGCGGAACTATGGGTACCATTTAAAGAAACATGCAGAATTAGGGGTACCATTTTGTGGAAATATTGCAAAATTATTAGGAGGGAGATATAGCATTAACAAAATGAATGTCCAGCTAGAAACAAAAGTGTGAAATATGTGTAATATTAAGGTTTTGGGGCATAGGACATGCAAAGTTTGGTTGATGATTTGTTATGTGCTTTAAACACATTATTTGCTCTGCAGAATAATGGGTATAGTGTTTCATCAAATTTTTTAACCAAAATGACATGTTCCCGCTCAAAATTAGACTCAGTTACCCCCCTCCCCCCTCCATTGAGGTTAGCAGGAAGATTCAGCTGTGTAAAGAGGACAAAGGACACTGAACCTGAGCTTTTCCCTTGAACAATTTGCTTTGATAAAGCAGTTTGATCGACGTACTTTTACGTTATTGGAGTTTTCTGAAGATACTAGTGGAGCATGTAGAACCGCTAAGAATATCGCGAAACTGTACAAAATCTGAGGAAGAAGAAAGGAATCCACAAAGCAACCACAATAGATATGTAGTGAATTGAAAATTGACTGTTGCAAATAAGTTATTTTTGTTATTTAGATTTTTGAATCTAGATTTACTTGATTTTACAAAGTTAATAACTAGGGTCTCAAACCAAGGACCGTGAAAGTGGAGACTTAGGATTTCAGCCTCCCAAAAATTTTCTATACTTAATACTGTACTTAAAACTGTCATAAGCTGTACTTAAAACAAAACAAAATGATCTTCCCTTTGGCTGTTCCAAAACTTTTTGTCTCCGCACACCCCCCCCCCCTACCCTTATCTGCTCCGCTGTCCCTGTCCCAGACAAATATTATAGAAAATTATTTACATTACTTCAAAACTGGTCTAGACATTAAGGTCACGATAAAGCAAGCTCAAGCACATCAAACTGCTTTAGGAACTGGAATAAAAATGGTTCAGAAAAATTTACCATTTTAGCTGTTACCACTAAGAATGTTTCACTTTTATTTTATGAATTTTTATTTTCAGAGTTGTGACTTGTCAATTCAAAACGTATCCGAACTAACACTTTAGAAACACAAACTTTGCACTATGACCTTGATATACGGTTGGATCACGATAAATCAACTACCACTTAATTCGAACTACTGCTATGTCGATTTGTTTTTAAATGTTTTGGGTATAAAAACTGCTCCGGATTGTTGGAGCCCCGAAAAAGGCGAATATATCAAGAACCTGATCAAATTATTTGCTAACTTCAGCACATAAAGCGAAAAAAACAGCAAGGTCAAATGGATGCAATTAAACAGGTAAAGTTAAAGTTTTTGGTTGACTATTTCTAATAAAATTCGCCAACACAGGAAATTAATTACAGTTACCGTGTTAGACAAAGACGAAGAAGAAGGCCAAATTGAGACCCTGTGATAAGTACAAAGATATTTGTAAGCTGACAATGGTTGAGGTACATGGTCAAGATAGGAGGGCATTGAGACAGTTTGTGCCAGGGTTTTTTTTACTGGGCAGTTCAACACAAAATGTGCAGTTCGAAAACTTTTTGTGCAGTTTCTAAAGAAAAATCTGTGCAGTTCTAAAATTTTACTTTAATAAACAACAAAATTAGGAAATTGCTGCAGACAAAAACAAACATGATGAAAGATTATGAAACACGAAAAAACTTCCAAAGAATACGCTAAAATGGAAGAAGTACCTTTTGGGATATATAAATTACAGATATAGAAATACATTCGATTGCGAGGAAATATAATGTTTATGAAAATAGCTATTATTTCGTTCTTTGAGTCTCACCTACACGAAGCATGAAATTGATAGCGTCAAAGCAAAAACACTTTTAAACTCTTGAATATTTAAAAAATCAGAGCCAAAAGTAAATCATGTCACAAGTTTCGAATTTAAATTTTACAGTTGTATGATCAAACGACATAGACAAAAAACTAAATTGGAGGCTATCTGCAATTGTCATTTATACCTACAATCACTGCCAAAAGGCTTGGAACACTAACGTAGGTTTTCAAAGGCAAATTCAGCCATCCCCCTCTCCCCCTAGGAACAATGTTGATTTACTTGAGAAAAAAGAGAGGGGTTATGGAGTACGCTTTTTCTTGTGGATTGTTTGATATTTTTCTATACTTTCAACATTGTTTTGGGGGGAAAGGAGGGCGGAAGTGGTAGTATTGAAGAAAACAAATGAAAAATAGAAAAGCACAGCCCAAAGTGTTCCAAGTAATTTTGGCAGTGATTGTCTGAATGGAAATTTGAAGCTTATCAGATACACTATCAAATGTTATGTCTACCCATAGGTTTTCGATGGTGCTGAGTCCATTTATGGCATTTTCAGAACCGTACGTATTACTAATAAGGAGATATGGGGGTATTCTTTGTTTTCAGGGGCTGGGGTAAGCTACCCTCATAGAACTAGGTACCATGTTTCAAAAATGGTTTAAATTGAGAAAATTAAAATTGATTTTATTTACATGGTAATTTTATTCTATCCAATCATTCTGTGCTAAGGTTTGTTAAATAATGATAGTTGTGATGATATTAACAAAAAATTGAAGTATATCATTGCTATAAGAGAAAGCTGCAGAGTCAACCGTAGAAGCCCTCTATACAGGCCTCTCCCACCCCCACACCCCCCAAAAACTACATTGCGAGTAAAAATTTCGAATTTTTATTAGCACCAATGAATTCAGCACCAAATTCAGCCATCCCCCTCTCCCCCTAGGAACAATGTTGATTTACTTGAGAAAAAAGAGAGGGGTTATGGAGTACGCTTTTTCTTGTGGATTGTTTGATATTTTTCTATACTTTCAACATTGTTTTGGGGGGAAAGGGGGGCGGAAGTGGTAGTATTGAAGAAAACAAATGAAAAATAGAAAAGCACAGCCCAAAGTGTTAGGTGTTCCAAGTAATTTTGGCAGTGATTGTAGCTTTATCATCATCAGTATACACCGTCTAATTGGCGTACAATGCCTGCCAAATGTCTTGGAACACTGACATCAATTTCCAAGGTCAAAACCAATCATCCCCCTCTCCCCCACGGAACAATGTTGGTTTACTATCAAACGGATTAGGATTTTAGGAAGCACTTTCTTTTGCGCTTCTTTTATGTTATTTCTCTAAATCATCAACATTGTTTGAGGGGGAAGGGGGCGAAAGTAGCAATTTTTTTTCATGAAAGGAATGAAAGATATCAAATGCAGCGTAAATTGGTGGGTGTTCCAAGTACTTTTGGCAGGCATTGTAGCTCTAAAAATAAAAACGATATTAAAGTTTAGTATACATCAGATGACAGCGCTTATAAATGTCGTTCCGCAAACATAATTTCGTTTCTTGAGGTTCTTTATAGTTGAGTTTGGTTTCTTGTGATTATAACCAAAAACTCACAATGGTTCTTATATTTTCAAACACTTGGTTTTCTGCCATAATGTACCTTTTAATTTTGCCTGCAAGTTGAGTTAGAATCTAATTGCTATTCCTGTAAATTGATATTACATAATATGAATCAAATTGATATTACATAATAGAAAATTTTCTTTATACATTTATACATAGTATTTTTTCGATACATTTACCCTTGAATTCTAGACAGGGCCGACACAAGAAGGAGGTGACTGGAAAGCTAGAGGCTGCACCGCCAAACTGTCTTCTACTTTGTGTCTGTAATCCTCTGAAATATCTCACCTGAGAGCCTGCATGCAAATAACAAAAATCAAAAAATGTTTACCTCTTTATAGGGCTGTATTACCACATAAGGAAGGCAGAAAGAAATTTATTTTCATATTTTTCAGATTTTGCGCTTTCTGGACTTTTCGGACTAGAAGGAGAAAGAGACTTGCAGCGATTCCAAGGTGAGCTGCAGATTTACTTTTCCGTAAGATTTTGCCATTTTGGCTTCTTTGTTGAAATTTGTCAGAAGATTCCATCTTTAACTCACAAAAAACTAAACACCTCTTGACCCCCCCCCCCCCCCCCCCCCCCAAGGCCATTAGTCTGTGTTGTATTAGGTACAACGCAAAGTCTGATGGTACGCTTGTGGGGTGCTAAATGGGCCAAAATTTTAAGACGGGATAGAATCTTTTGCATCGCACCCACGATCTCTGGCAACACCAACGCCATCTTTAGGTGTCGTTTGAGTAAAGGCCTCGTTTGCATGTTGCGGGCTCACAATTTGCGGACCATGCCGATTGGGACAAAATTCAGTTTGAAAATCTCATCAAGCGATCAGCGAAAATCTCATCAAGAAGTTGTGCAAATATTCTGGTAAAGATACTAAAAATGTCATGAAGAAATGAATATATGCTATCTTGTGAAGAATTTTTGTTGTAAAGAGAGATATATTCTAATCTTGATTATATATCCAACTCTTGATGATATTTTAGGGTCGATTCTGTCCCGTCTTGAAATTTTGGACCATTTGGCACCCCATAGTACGCCCTTCTTGCTGTTAGTTCATGCCCTTTTGTCAAAGGGAACACCAATTAATAATATTTGGTAATCCAGCGGACAGCCTTTTCTGCGTTTCTTCTTTCTTACACATATTTCACACTCGGGAGAGTACTTGACTCGGAAAAAGATAGGGGTGTGTGTGTGGAAGACATTTTTGCACCCCCACCCTTTTCCATAAGTAATTTGACGAAAATCTAACTTGTCCTTTAAAAGAAATTGCCAGTAACATTTGAAAATTATGCCAAAATGCACCTGATCCCTAGCAAATGTAACTGGAACATCCTCTTTCAAAGATCGTCAAAAACAGTCACTTGTTCCCACATATTTCTTGCTTATCATTATATATTTCCCTATTTTGATACCTTATCCCAGAGCTTTTATGCAGTTCATAATACCTTTTTCCATGATATTTATCTGAAAAGATACCCTGTGCTGCGAAAATTCCCGTCAACTATGGGAATGCCCCTCTCCGGCCAGCCTGCCAGCCTCTCTTTATCATTTTGAGTGCGTTTTACATGAGTCTATTGCGTAACAAATTTAAACCGTAGTGCATATTTGAAAATGCAACAGACGATATCGAGCAAAGAACACGCAAAGTTTACCAACAATATCCGAACATAATTGACTGTAAACCCTTCAGTTTAGAAAAATGGGCGATGACGAATGGGAGAAGCTTCCAACAGAAGATAAAGTTGTTCATAAAGTACGTTTATCTTGTGTGAGATTCTGTTTTCATCTGTAGATTTCTGATTGGTCTTGAAATCTTGTCCAAGCCCGCGCTTTTTATGTATTGGTAGCAAGGAAGTAATACTTTATAAAGTTTATTGAGTTATGCCCAACTTACGTTAACGTGTTTGACATTCCCCCTTTAAATCTCAAAGCTTCGATCTACTTTATTTTCTGCAAAATTTCTCGCCCACTTGATGAAAAGCAAAAATGCGCAGGGTGTCCTAGGCCCTTTTGGGTGTTTGTGTTTTTCTGGGCGGTTCATTACACCAGCAAATAAACAATTATTTACTGGGCCAGAAATTGTTAGTTAGGCTATGTTTAATAGTTTTTGATAAGCTCCAGCAATCAAATCGCAACTCATGATGTTATTCGATAACTGTTCACCATGCGTTAATTGTCGTCTCTATGAATTCTCAAGACATCCCTTAGTGGAGATTCTAACCAAGCATTTAAAAACGATATTTCAAGAAGATACAGGCATTGCATTCAAGGTCTAGAATGTCGAAAATTTTTTGAAAGCTTCAAAAAGCTTCATAATTATAATTCAAGAAGATACAGGCATATCATTAAATATCTACACCGTATGCTTGACTCCAAGAATCAAATCTGTTTTTATAAATTGATGCATTCTCTTCATTTGGCAGTGACCTACATAGAACATTTTAAGGCTATCAAATGAATAATCATGCAATACCTGCACCTCCACAGCTAGCTAATGACATTGCTAGATAAGAGTATGCTAAAATTTTGTCCTGTCCCGCTATGAATCTTACTTGACAAAGAAAGTATGCACCTTAATTGCATTTAAATGCTAACTGTGTTTGATATACATCATTTGATTTCTCTAGCTGTGGAAAGCAAGAGTTGCAGGCTATGAAGAAGCCAAGAAGAAATTTCAAATGATTAGCAATGAAAAGACTAAAGAGTTTACTTCATATCTTGGTATTTTGAAGAAGTTTGTGACTGACAATAATGCAGTTGCACAAGAAAAAGGCCTACTGGCAACATTAGCTTTTGTCGAGAATTGTTCTGATTCCACCAGGTAAATTGTATATATTTAATTTAATTGTTATATGTTTGATTGAATTTAGAGTTTTAAAACGGAGGGCCCCTTCATCAGCTCCGGCTAAAGGGTAACCCTCCTTAAATGAATTAAAATGAAAAAAGGACAAATAAAAAAGTTTTTTCTGCTTTGTTAATTAAGTATATTTGTTCAATTTTTCAGGCCATGCTGGGAATGGCGTGCGATCGCACGCCCACGCCTTGGCACACGCCTTCCGTTGCTCAGAAGTGCAGTTTATCGCACGCCTTAAATAATCTGCAAATAACACTTTATTCTAAAGGGACCAATATGGCCCAATGTAATTTTTTTATCATAATTCAACTATGAACGAACGGTGATAATCACGCAATCGTTTCTATTTGATTTCTACTTGACGAAAAATTTGGCGAATATTCTAATTTGCTTAAAGTTATGGTAAACGTTTTTTGAATGAAAACATCCACTTCTCGATTTCTTCAGATTCTAGTAGCCGGACTTTCAAGGCACACGATGATACCATATTTAAAACTAACAGAAGTTCTGAAAGTGGCGAAAAACCCCTGTAAACGAAGGTTTCCATAATTTCTTTATCAAAGTTTTGAGTTGAGGTCTGAAAATCGCTCGAACTTCTAGGCCGATAATCCTTGCTTTGCAGTTGTGGTAGCTTGTCTCATTTGCAAAAACTGCAGTGGAATCACGATATAACGAACCCCGGATATAACGAACTTCCCAGTATAACGAACTAAATGCCTGGTCCCTTGGATTCTGCCTAACAAACTCCTTACAAATTCTCTCGGTGTAACAAACCCCGGATACAACGAACTCTCTTTATCACGAACCATTTTTAGGTCCCTTCATCATAATTACCCTTGATATAACGAACTTTCATAAATTCTTCATCTGTTATTTTTGTTTATTTATTTTCGGTATTCATTTATCACTTTCTCTTGGGGAGAAATCATTGTTATAATCGGCAAAACATGCCGATGATACATTTCAAGTACTGGCTGATAGACCACGAGATGAAAGTTCGATTGCGTCAGAAATTACTGCGAATGAGTACATTGACACTAACAAATAACTTCTTACATATAAGGCATTAGCAATAAGCGACGACAAAACTTTATTGAGAGACCCAGATGGAGAAGCAGAAAAAGACAAGTAAGAATGTGAAGTAATTGAAGACATCATTCAGGCACCAACTAGGAGCGAAGTGATACCAGCTTTGCCAATCTCTTGGTCCCAAGTTATAAAAGGAACATTAAGATTTTCATTTTCAATGACCAGCCAGTTGTATTATTTGAATTCAGATTGGTTTTTTTGAGTTAAATGGTACATGTATGGCTGTACATGTGCACAGAGGTTGGAGATAGCCTAAACAAGCCCACCACAGGTTTTTTAGGCGTGAACTGCGAAAGGACCCCCAAAAAACATTATCTCTCGGTTTAACAAACTCCCAATATACGAACTATTTTCTGGTTCCCTTCAGAGTTCGTTATATCGGGATTCCACTGTAGTTACAATCCCATGGCACATTTAAGGCTTTGTTTATTTAAACAGGCTTATTGATCTTTAAGCTTTAAATGATTTGACCCAGATTACACTGTGGTTTACGAGTGTATCTTGCAAGTGCGATCAGTAAAATCCCATTTTCTCAGGACTCACAATTCCTCTATATACAGTTTACTTTATGTGCATTTTTCTAATCTGTATGCAAATACAAAACTCTTTAGAAACTTTTACTAATAAAATGTGGCCAAAAATGTTCCAAAATTAAGAGACTTTGAATTGTGAAGATTTAGCTGTAGCTTTCTTACAAAATATAAACGTGCAATTAACCATTTAGTTCGTTCTAACACTAGTCAACAGATAAGTTTTCTTTATGGTGAAAACACAGTTAGAATTCTTAAATTTTGAGAACGAGATTGTCAGGAGAAGCAGACCAGAAGGGTTTATAAACTGCAGGATTACATAATAATTAACCTACCTTATTGTTAATGTTTTTCTCTTTAATATGTTGGGTTTGACGTTAATAAAGCTTGTTTGATAAAATGTATTGATTGGACTAGCCTTGCTTATGTTTTCTTATGATAAAGTTATGTAGTCTAGTCCATATACAGCTGACTGTATTATTAAGTACTTTGGTGCAATAGCACACCATTGCACGCCTTGGCACCACAAGGAGTGCGATTCATTGCACCCCTGCCATTTTATTCCCAGCATGGCCTGATTTTTGGCAAGTTGCATTCCAGTATGCAAGGTTGGGTATGCACAGAGAATGTGTTCCCCGTGCAATAATTTACTCTTCAATCAGCAAACTAGTTCAAATTTTGTTTAATTGGCAAAGCTGCAGCACAGTTTTCATGTGAACCCTTTGCACAACCTCACAATGAGGGTTACAAATTCTCCCTTGCAAACATAAGCAACAGAAAATAATTCCCTGTGCACACAAAATTCTTCGCAGTCTGGTTTGCATTTCTTCTGAGAAAGTTGTCATCTTTTATCAAACAGGTGGCAAACATTTTTTAGAATTTCAATTTTATTACCAAAATATCTTAACACTGCTTCTCTTTCCTGGACCATGTAACACAAATATCTAAACAGATCATTAGAAAATGTTTTGCCATTTAAGAATAGAAATTTCCTTTCAATAGATGTATAGTTTTGGCTATAACACTTAGTTAACCTTTTTGCTTCAAGCCATATTCAGCATTTATAAAAACATATTGGGATCAGTTGTGAAAAGAGTTCTTCTAGGTACTGCATTTTGATCTCCATTTAAACCATCATTAAATATGTTGTGTTAGAATGAGCAAAAGGTGGTTGATTGTCCTATAAATTGGGTGTTAATGGCTTTGCAGGAAAAGATGAATTTAGTGTGTCTCCAAGGTAAACAATTTATCAAAAATCATTTTTCAATGGAAACCAATGTGAAATTTTTTGCTGAAATGTTCCCAAAAGTAGAATTTTAATTTGCTGTTAAAAAGCTTGGCAGGTCCCAAAAGATGTGGCAAAAGGGAAACAAAGAATACCCCCAGTGACTTCAGAAGTTGTTGCTGATATTGTTCAGATGAGCATGAAACGCAATATTTAGGCCTATTTAGGCCTAGTGAACAAACACAATAACAGTGTGTCTGGCTTGCTAGCAATGGATCCAGAGCAAGTGTGGATAAAGGGACAGCAGAGTTCAGTTCGAGTAAGCGACAGCAGAGTTCATGACCGGGCACTGCTCTTTAAGCCATTATAGATTCTTTTTGCCATAATTATAGTAAATTATAGTACATAACAATATGAAGGTAGGTCTATGCATAAGAACTACCTTTGGGAGCAAGGTCATAACAAATGCAAATGCAAAACAATTTTCAAGAAAGTTGAGCACAAATTGCAATAATTTTTTTGTTTATTGTGAATTAGGGTTTGCAGTGATGTTGTGTCTGGAGTTGTTACAAAAGTGCTTAATTCAAAGCCAAAACTCAAACAACTTGGAATGGACATTTGTTTGATGTACATTGAACTTGAGAAACAGGAAGTTGTCATGGTAAGTTAAAAATGCCTTTGTTCTCATTTATTTGCAGGTTTTTGTGTCACAGCGAAAGAGTATAATTTTTCAACTGGTTAGTAAATTAATATCACTAATACCAGGCCATGATTTTGTAAATAAATTAATATGATTTGTTAATATTAATACCATGGCAAAATACATTAGTTGAAACATAGCTAGTAGTAAGAAGCAAAAAATTAGAAACTCTAGACTGAATTTTGAAATAAAATTGCCTAAATTAGTAAAAACAACTGCTTAACTTAGTACAAAAACTTAGTAAAAAAGGGTCAATTTATTTGTTTCAAGAAATAAAAACTGACATTTTGATTTTGAAACATTGTTGATTTAAAGATGTTACATCTCAAATTTGATGATTTGCTAGGCATATGTGATGATGTCACAGTATCAATAAACACTACCTTTTCTTCATTCAGGAAGAGCTAATCAACGGGTTTTCCAACAAGCAACCAAAAGTAGTTGCAGCTTGTGTTTCACTCACAAACCAGGCATTGCGGTATGACTTCTTATTTTACTTTAGCTTTGAGAAAGTCACTCTCATAACCTTTATTTCTATTACAAATAGATGGTATGACAAGTATTGAAAGCGTGCTGATAGAACAACAGTCAAGCCCTCATGTTTTCTGTTAATATATTCACACCTTGCACTTTACATTGCCTGATTTTTGCAGGTGTGAAATGTCAGAGTTGCAACATAGAGCGTTCCTGTCTAGCACTTTTTATATGACAGACTGGTAAAAACTTGAAGATCTTCTCATGTGTCAGCCATCTTGCAGCCAAAGGCATTAACATTAATATCTGTGTTAATGCGCATGATGCTGGTTGGCTGCCAGGATAAGAAGTGGCTGGCTCTGCAGATGACTTTGATACTTTTGTCTCCCAACAAGATTTAAATCAGGCAGCATTTAAATTACATCTGCTATCATATTTTGTTTTAAACTTCAGATGCTAGTATTTAGACACAAATATGCATCATTAGTTAAGCCTAGAACCAATGCAAATGTTTTTTCCTCAGCTGGTGGCCTTGTCTGCTTTAAATCACTTATCTACCAGAATTAATTCTTTTTAGTGAATTTGGCGGCAAGGTGATAACTATGAAGCCAATTGTTAAATCATTACAGAAGCTGTTGGAGCACCAGGATAAAACTGTCCGTGAAGAGGTAAATTCGCTAAGGAACAAAACCAAATTACGAAATAAGTGTTTCATTAGCTCAAATCTTTAGCCAAATCCCATCTTCCTCCTTCTTGAAGGAAATGAGTAGGAGTCTCCCTAAAAAATTTATGTTCAGTTGAGTCAATGTAATCTTTTTAATGGTTGGTTGCATCAAGTATCAGTCAGCAATGAGTAGCTTCTTAAACTTTGTATCATTTGAATTTCATGTACCAAGTGAGAAAAAGTAGGTCTCAGAAAATGCAACAATAGACATGGACTTACTGCTGACAACCAGGATGTGTATACCGTCGAATGCACTGCTTTCTGATGAAACATTGAATTCTGAGTAGACAGTCTATCGCATCCTTAATTTTCATCGAATGGTTTATTGGTTTACATGCTCAGAAACTGAAGACAAAAAAGCCCAGTCATTAAACTATATATATACTGTTAACATATATATATATGGTGAAAGTAAATCATTCTTGTATCCCCTTGTCTACTTCCTAGGCAAAATCGTTAGCAGTTGAGCTTTACAAATGGATCAGAGATGCATTGCGTCCCCAGCTGTCTAGTATCAAGCCAGTTCAGGTATTTTAGTTTTTGTACAACTAGCAAAATATTTTCATTGAACTGTTTGTTTAATGATTGAATTCTATAAGCTTTTTAAAGTGCTTACGTTATAAATGTGTTGTATTTTTGCTTCGAAATGATCTAAAAAAATTATATAGCACTTATGGATGTTAATTGTTTTTGCAGCTGAAAGAGCTGGAGGACGAGTGGGCCCAGGTTGATGCTAACAAGCCTAGTCCCACTCGATTCACTAAGACGGAACAAGCAAAGAGAGCTGCTGCCCCGCCACCGCAAGAGAAGACTGCCCCAGCATCAGATGAAGGTTGGTTCAGCTTTTGCTGCTCGTACAGGTCTTGCCTAAGTTTTTATATTTATGAGGCTATAAGTACTTTTTTATGTTAAGTTGCTCGATTTTAAAGCTTTGATTAACGTTTTTCATTAGGAATTATGTGCTTCTATTTATAGTTGTTTGTTTACAGTATCCTAATTCGATTCTCGACAGTTGATGCCTCTGAGGAAGTGTCAGATGAACCAGATGAAAACATCGACCCATACGATTTAATGGACGCTGTTGATATTATTCCGCTCATTCCAAAAGATTTTTTTGAACAAATAGTAAGAGACGTGTTTGTACAATTTTTTCTCAGTCTATTGTATGATGTACCATGTGATTGATATTTGCCGTAAAACCCAGAAGGAAACGCCGGAAATAGTTCGAGTTAACAAATGTTTCCAACGTCGCAGGATTGGTTCAAGGCGAATGCATGAAAATTTCGTTACGGTTGTCTTGATTCCCCCAGGCTGCGGTTACCGTAAAAGCTCTATTATGCCCCCCGGGGGGGGGGGGCTTATTCATTTTTACCAGTCCTAGAGGAGGGACCTAAAAGAGAGGGGCTTATTAATAATTTGAAGTAAAAATGTTTTAAAAATGCCCTTGTCTATTTTTTTGTTATAAAAATGTCACACAAATATTCTCAGCAAACTTCGCTAACTGCTTCGAAAGTCTAATTAATCAATTATAAGGTCCTCACCTCTATCAGAATCTCTAGGATCAATTGATAACCCTGGGACATCATCTGAACAAATTTATTAGGCGCAAAAGTGAGTCTTTTCAAGGGCCGTATTTAATGTACACGATCTTATTATCATCACATTCGTCAAGAGACCCAATCAAGGCACATTTGTTCTTTGTTTGACATCGGGGGCTTAAGTGGGGAGGGGGGGCCTTAATGGAGCTTTTACGGTATCTATGTTTGGCTTATTGTCCAGTTTTCCTGTATATAGCTTTGCTTTGGTAGGTTTTTGTTAGGGAAGGGTTGACATGGATTTGTGGTGGAATTCAAGAAAACAAATGTTTAACCTGGACATAACAGAAATATCTCAAAACTTTATTTTTCTTATGCTCACAGCTTCGGAAAAGCAAAATTTGTTCCAGTTATCTAAATTTTACATTATTGTTTGTTGACCTAATCAAGGATAGTCGGGAAATGAAATATTTATGATAGAATTGACCAAGAGTACAGAATTTTGATCAAAAAAGTTACCATTGCAATTTCTTATTATAGCCCTGGAGTACCACACTTCTGCTCTGTGTACCTTATAATTGTTGTCTCAGTAATTGACAGTTATTTTGATTTCAAGGTGCAAACAAAGTGGTCAGAAAGAAAGGAAGCTCTTGAGGGCTTAGACAAATTAACATCAAAGCCCAAAATAGAAGCCGGACAGTTTGGTGATGTAATGGGATGTCTAAAAAAGGTAGGAATCTCCTGTTTCGGTAAATTAAGTATTTTAGTTTTATTGTGACAACGTAGATGTTTGAATAGAACCAGGTTGTATATTTAGGAACTTGGAACTAGTAACTACACATCTAATGAAACGAGGTTACCCTTGTAAAACGTCTTCTGAACAGTCAAAAAGAACTATGGATCCATGGGTTTTTGCTTACTTCACAGGGACTGTACCATGTTTCTTGTACCGTAATGAGAATGCACATTTTAACTACATTGGGATGCTACAGAATCAGGCAGTATTTTACATTAAGCAAAGAACAAATGCCTTTTTCGAAGCAATTTTCTTTTCAATCTCCACATAGTATCTGCTAATTATTTATTAAATATACTAAAATGCGTGCGGTACAATATGATGAATTTAAATAACGATCAATGTAGGTAAATTGTACCAGGAAAATTTTTTTAAAATAATTAACGACGTTTCGAGCATAACCCGTTATCAAGTGAGTTAGAAAAGCGATATAATAATTATTTATTATATTGTCTAACAAAGTACTGGCTCATTTTATTTTTATCTTAGTTTTCGTTATTTGTATATATTCAAATTTTGCTAAGGTCGTAGCCAAAGACAGCAATGTTGTTGTGGTTGCACTTGCTGCAAAGTGTGTACAAGGTCTTGCCAAAGGACTGCGAAAGAAATTCAACCCATACGCCCCTATGATAATCCCAGTCATTTTGGAGAAGTTCAAGGAAAAGAAGATGAATGTTGTCATTGCTCTGAGAGATGCCATAGATGCAGTTTTCTTAACGGTAGGCGAAATCCGCCTTGTAAGGCTGTAAAATTTATTCACTTCAAAGTATAAATTATAGCAGGAAAATCCGAGAATTGAACACGAGCAATAGCGCCTTTTCTATGCAGTATCCACGGCTGCAAAAATATTTTTTTTTCTTTCTGGAAACCTATGTAAGAAAATAAAAGTTTTCTACTAATTGTAAAAAAAATCCACGAAAATTTGACTCAATGTATTTTTTCGAAGTTTTAAACTCTCATTAATTTGCAATTACAAATTTTCTTTATCTCTTAATCTAATATATAACTAAATATTCATTTATTTAGTTTTTTCTAAGATATTTTGATTTGTTCAGTCTTGTTTTCTGATGTTCGGGCTTTTAATATTTTGTAGGAGTATTTATAGTGTTGGTATAAAATTCATTTTGGTAAAATTATTTCTGCTAAGTCTGAATATTTGACCTCGTGTCCAGGGTCCGATGCTTTTTGCTGCTCTGGCAGTATCTTTCACAATGAGAATGTCTTTTTTCACTTTTCTTTAATTGATTGATGGATTGATAAAATGTTTATTGATGGATTGATATAATGTTTTTTGAATTAAGGTAAAAATACCACTGATATGCACGCTTTTCTTCAATTTTAATTGAGTATCCTTTACAATGGTGAACAAAACATTTTTCTGAAAATCATTCTAATATTGTGCAATTAGGGCCATTTTCAAAAGATCTGGTATGAAGCTACGTATAGTTTTGATTAGTGCATATACTTGGCAAACATTTCCACGGCCCAAATACCAAAAATGAAGATTGAAATTAAACATAAAAATATCAGAAAGAAATATATCAACTCTTGAGTTAATACAAGAAGGGATAAATTGCGCTAAAATTATTAGTTATTTCAAGTTGCCAACAAAAGCCAATTCGAACATTCCAAATTAGTAATTTTGATGCAATGCTTTAATGCAATTTGGCAAGACGTTTTAATGCAATATTTTTCATCATTTCCACAGAAAGTTTTCCCTCATTTGATGTATTCCGAGACAGAAAAAAGTTTTTCTGTAACCATACTGCATGTGCCAATGTCACAAACTTAGCTGAGGCCTTAACAATGAGTAGGAATGCCCGTTTTTACATTTGAAAGTTTCTTTGTTGGGTGTTTTGAACTTGGATGTGAACCTGAATGTCTTCCTATACCTGTATCTCTTTGATATTTTTCTCTTGCCTTGGTTTGAGTTTTTTCTCATTGGTGAATTCTTTTCAGACGACATTTTCAAACATGGTCGAAGATGTAATAGCCTCTCTCGAAAGCAAGAATCCCAATGTGAAAGAAGAGACGTGCAAGTTCCTCACCCGCGCCATCAGTCAGTTAACCCAGGCTACATTACCTAAGCCAATTCTGAAGCAAATAACCCCGGTTTTGATAAAGGTCAGTAAAAACCTCGTTTTTCATGGTTCTTTTTCTTTATTTTCAACGAGGCAAGAAAATCTTTTATTTCAAGCTTGGTGTCTGAATTTGAAAACTAATCAATGGTTTGGTGTTTGGTTCAGTGACGGACACCTGGGGGGGCAAGGGGCAAGAGAGCCGTCGCCCCCACCCCCAGTGTTTACGGGGGTGGGGGCGACGGCTCTCTTGGTCCTTTGCGAGCGTGGCGACGATCCAAACAATGGCAGTAATTTTCTACGGATTAACCAAAATTGTCTAAAATGCATTATGGGATGCTTACGTAGCGCAATGGCTCATCTTTAACAAAACAATAGGCTTGCTCCTCCAATATTTGACCAAGTGGTTTTTGTTCAGTTCCTTATCCAATTAAAGATAATCACAGAACAGGCTACCCAACGAAGAAAAGAGACAAGCCTTACCTGGAGCCAACTCTTAACGAACAGGGAAGACGGTTACGTTAAAAATATGGAACACACTGCAAACCGAATTATATATAGTTATAGATTTCTATTGTTATTGTGGTGCGCTTAAAGGTAAAAAGCGTATTACAAGAGCAGTGTTATTAAACCGACCAGTTCTCTGAGTGTAGAGTATATTCTATTGATGACATTGGAAAGGGCGTCTATTAGTGCACATGAAGAAAGCTGACTTCTAAATATGTTTGACGATTTTCATATTTGGATGAAAACCAACAGCTTTTCTACAGAGTCTTTGTCACACCCAATCATTCAATGCAGAGTCTTAAGGATAGCCACCTCCACCTATTTCACAGGGAAACGCATTTCAAGGGGAAATCAGTTTTAGATATGTAGAAGACGAACAAAAGAAGTCAAACTTGGTCTATTTGAAAGGGCACAATTCGCACCCTGTGTCTAGAGGCGATTGATGTGAAAATCAAGATTCTCTGAAGCTGTGTATTTCTAGCTAAAAAGGGCATCGTTAATCGAATTTATGCAATTCAGTGGCGGACACCTGGGGGGGGCGAGGGAGGCGAGGGGGCGACTGCTTTAGAGGACAATGGTCTTTTGTTCTAAAGCAATGGGAAATGTGACATCATTTTATTAAAACAAAGCTTGCCTTGGCTAAGCTTGCCCCCCCCCCTCAATATTTGACCAAGCGTCCGCCCCTGATGCATTTGTTTCCAATAATTGATATATATATCTTATGTTTTGATATTTTAGAAAATGGATGATACTGTAGCGGGTGTGAGGGACAACGCCGCAGAAGCTCTTGGTACATCGATGAAGGTTGTTGGGGAAAAGGTCATGCTGCCCTACATCGACCAGTTAGATAAAATAAAAGCTGAAAAGGTACGCAATACTAGAGATCTTCACCCGTTATACGTTATAATATGCAGTAGGAGTTTGCTATTATCTACACTGGGGTCACAAAAGTATGGAAGCGGTGCTAAAGATGGCGGCTCACAGAAGCCAAATGCCTAAAGCCCCGGCAAAACGACTGGACATTTTCACTGAAAATGCACAGGACAAATGTCCAGCGTAAATGTTGCGTCGTTTTGCCACCTTGTTCAGTCTTGTTCAGCGATGTTGAGTGTTGTTCAGTCGATTTTGAAGGCATCCAAAAATGTTCAGTGGACAGGATTAAATTTCTTTTGTTCACTGATGTTGTAGAGAAAATGTTCAGTCGTTTTGCCACTCTTCTGAAAATTGTCCAGTTCGCGCACGCGCAATTGATTAATGGTTTGGATTTGGCGTCAGTTTGTTTCCTATATTCAAATCTTCAACAAACTTTCCTAGTAAACACCGCGAATGAAATTGAAATAACGTTAAAATTCAATTCGACGAATAGCAGAAAAAGACATTTCATTAGTAACGACGGGTCTTCTGAAGAGATTAGCTTTAGTTCCGATAAGGAATGCGATGGCAGAGTGCACGAGTACAGTGATTGTGATAAACGTAGCAAGTCCTAGCCATTCTTCTTCAATACACTCTAATTCATACGATAACACGGTTAGGGCTATGAAAAGTTTATTTTCAAAGGTAAAGTGATGCCCTGTTGCCAGTTTTCCCATCCGCATTCTTCAACAGGGAAAAAGTTCACTAGACAATGTTCAGTCGTTTTGCCACCATCGATATTTTCTTGATGTCCATACTCTGAGCAAGTGAGCAATGTCCAGTGTGTGACCAGTGCAGATGTCCAATCATTAAGCCGACAGGTTTTTAAAACAGAAGTGCAACGCTAAGGGGTTTTTGTAACGAACGCTTTCGCCACGAATTTTTTTTGCGGAACTATCCAATGGCTTTTGAATCAAATTTAATTTGAAAGATTACCTTACTGTTTTATGGCTAAAAAGTCAAGGAAACGTTTTACCGATGCTTCAGGAAATTTCTGGAAAATATTTTCGAAGGATTCGTAAAAAATGCCTCAAGGTACAGACGAACCTTAATAAGCATACGATAATTAATTAAACTTGAAACTTAATACGTGCACCTTTGTTCTGACTTTAAATATATTACCAAGAAGATCATTTCAGCTGGGATATCAGGTTTTAGGTTATTAAAAGTGATATCAGGTGAACAATTTCTAAAGCTTTCGTTTAGTGATCAAAATAGTCTTCTTGCTAAATAACATAGACGCTTTGGGTGTAGAAGATTCTTTTCATTAATTTCAAAAGGATAATTTAAATGCTGTACGTTTTGCTTTAATTTCTTGATTGCCATGTGCTTCGATAATGAGTAAAACAGAATTTAAGATAAAAACGTCATTAACATCAAATGTAGAGCAACTCACCTTGTGTCAGTATTGAAACTTTGAAATTAAAGTGCACTGCTAGTGTCACTTTCTCAGTTATAACTTTTTCATGAAAAAGAAGCTTTAATCAGTTTGCTTTGAATTTCAACATTTTTCGTTCACGTTTCTTCAAGAAAGTGACACTTCGTGGTCATCTTTCATGAATACTCGGAGAATCTCTTGCAGAATTGTTTTGAAGCAATGCTTCAAAGTTTTGCTGGAATTTTCCCCTCAAAACAGCAAGCCAATAATTAAATTTTCTTTAAACCGAAAGTCGAAGAAATGGCGAATGCATTTTCCCGCCATATCCTATCGTTTCCAAGCCCTTTCGCCTCATAATTCTGATTTTGAATTTGCTAAGCTTAGGCCCGTGGTCACTGTATGCCGCCATTTTGACCTACCGTTTCCATGTTTTTGCGGCCCCAGTCTATTTAGTTATGTTTATTGTGTGAAATGTTGTATTCAACTGGTGGACCAAAAGCGGAACTGTTTATAACATGTCTCATCAACCCAGTCATTCACATCAGAAACTAAAATCTTTAAATTGTTAGTTTTCTGACATAGCTGATCTGCATTTCAACCTCTTTCAAATTGATCTTTCTTTAACAACGAAAGTAGTTTTCAGTTTCAAAATTGTAAATAATTTTTTATATATCTTGTAATATTTAAGCGTATTGTAATATTTTTTCCTTTTGGCTGGGAAAATTGGAAAGCTGTTTATTTTATATAAATGGAATTGTATTCCAGTTTGAGTATTTTTAAAATAAAATCCCAAAATTTCCGATCAAATTCAAAATTTCCATTACCTTCTTTAGGTGAAGGAGTGCTACGAAAAAGCAGAGGTTGTGACATCTGGAAAATCGACAAAAGCAGTTAAGCCAGCTGCGGCTGCCAGTAAGACGGCTAACAACCCTGCAGCCGCATCGAAAGCACCTGCAGCTGCTAGTAGTAGTACAAACACGGCTGCCAAGAAACCAGTAAAGAAGAAGCTTGCGGGCGCTGGTGCGGTGGGTATTCGTTGCAGCTATAATAGTATTGCTTACTTGCCAGTTGATATCCTTACGGAGAGTGAAAGCGTTAGCTCATTGGCACTCGCAGCTTTCATCTGTTTATTGAATGCAAAATTCTAGAGTAATTATCATTTGTGTCCCCTTGCCCAAGTTGATAAGTCCTTCATTGTCCTTTACTTCCTCGTGTGAACATTTTTAAACGAGATTAAGGTTTCAAATTCTCTTCCCAAAGATTCACTAACAATTATCAAACGCACAGTTTCTGCTTTGGACTATTGAAATGTATTTGACTTGCATATGTATGGAAAGCCAGTAAAAGCATATCCTAGCTAATTCAGAAAATTAATGGAAAAGTTAGTCGATTTTACGCTTTTAACAGTTAATTTTCTCTTTTCACAGAAAGCGAAAAAGCCACAATCAGCTCCTCAGGTATAAGCATATTTTCATATTTTTGAATTGTTATTTAATATGGCAGGTTTGCCTTTGGACGTTTATTATTGAATTGTTAAAGTTTCCATCATACTAGAGTCACGTATTGTTGGTTTGCTTATTTCACTTCTTGGTCTGCGTATTGCACTTCTTGGTCTGCGTATTGCACTTCTTGGTCTGCGTATTTCCCTTGTTGGTCTGCGTATTGCACTTCTTGATCTGCGTATTGCACTTCTTGGTCTGCGTATTGCACTTCTTGGTCTGCGTATTTCCCTTCTTGGTCTGCGTATTGCACTTCTTGGTCTGCGTATTGCACTTCTTGGTCTGCGTATTGCACTTCTTGGTCTGCGTATTGCACTTCTTGGTCTGCGTATTGCACTATGGATGTTCAGGTATCATAGCGCATTTACAAAAACTTATTATAGGAAACCGATGAGTAAAGAAAGCAAGAGTGTAATTTTGTTTGTTTACAGGGAAAGAAAGATGGCGGCAAAAAAGCAAAGAAAGGCGCTGCTGCATATGCAGACGATGAGGCGGAACCAACCGAACAAGAATTATCGGTTTGTATTATTGAATTTGTCTGTCTCTTCCCTGTTCTAACTTTTTCAAATACAGTTTCGTTTCGGTATGTATCAAAACTACACATATGTATACCATTTTTCTTTTTCCATGTGCCAGTTTTTCAGAAGCGCAACTGCTCTTCGCTATGACTCTTTGGTCTGATCTAAGGGGTATGGAAAAGAATGTGTTTGTAGTATCATTTACTGGCGTGGAAAATCGTGGGACTTTCTTAATAAAATTAAGCTTCCCATTACTAGATCTGACCAGCAGCGAAGATTTTGTCATTAGGTTACATGAAGAAAATAATTAACAAAATGCCTTCTTGGCTTTATTCAACTTAACGCTTTCATACTTAAAGGTTTCTTCAATAGCCAATGCCATTTTAAGATAACAACACCGAAATTTTATCAAAACTAATGAGCTTTTGCATGTTCAAATAATTTAGATGACACATCTTCAAGGTTGTTTCATTGCCTTTAGTGTGTATACCCATTCAGGTACTGTATGTTTCCACTGCAAACAAAGTACTTTTACTTTTGTTTATGCTTTCTTCTGCCTTTTTTGCTTATCATTATAGGGGTCGCGAATACCTAACAACCTTGTCGTTTTAGCACTTGTTGGGGGTAATTATAGCCGCTCTAATTGAACATATTATTTTAAAGGAAGGAGTAGTTGAAGATATTGCACTGGAATTGTTTGGGGAAACAATTTGCAAGCAGATTGTAAGTGCAAACTGGAAGGAAAGACTTGAAGCAATGGAAGAAATGACAAAGGTTTACATTCTCTCTTGGTTTTCATAAAATATCCTAAAAGTCTTGCCTTAAGGAATAAATCACATGCCGGGAGGGCTTTCAGGGTTGTACCCCCTTCTATGATAATATTTAGCTGCACTAGGCTAATTCAAAACTGTTGCCTAGACAACCTTTTGGCAATGGTTTGTCCTTGTTGAATGTGTGTTTTCTACATGTGACAGAACTGTTTGCAATGGCATTAATTGATATGCGAGATTTTTAACTATTTTGTAAAGGACAGTGTTTTTTGTGATTATATGAATCAAAACTAAATAAGTATGCCAACAACCCCAATTAATAATCTTATCTTCATGATATGAACATAGTATCTGCATAAAAGGAACATAAATGAGCGGTGATTGAAAATGTTAGTTACATTGATAAACAGGTTTTAATCCGTGTTTCTCTGTTGCAGAAAGTCAACGTAATGACCCCAGATGCAAAGCAAACTCAGACAATCGTAAGGACGCTTGCCAAAAAACCAGGTTTCAAAGATAACAACATGATGGTATGAACAACAGTATAGATGTTTCACTTTGTAAATATCGTCTCTAATTCTGTGTAGGCTTGTCTAATTGTGTTTAAATAGTGTCTAGTATATAACTGCGCCTTTTTACGCTTCAAAGTGACTATTTCTTGCATACGTGTCTACTTTCTCCAAAGAAACATCCATACATCTTCGATTTTAGCGTAGAGAAAAATATCAACTCATATGCTTTTACTAACTTTGTTCTGCTTTTTACAAAAACAGACGAAGAGTAATATTTTCTAACAATTTTTGGAGACTTTGCGTTTTTTCTCTGTTTTTGGACTCTCTATGCTACTTTGTCCTGACTTATCCGTGGTTCTCTTTTTCAGGTTTTAAAAGGAAAATTTTCCTTACTTGGAATACTTGCAAAAGTTTCCAAACCTTTTTCACGCCGAAGTGCACTGTATGCAATAACTGGCTTGATAGAGAAAATTGGAGACATGAAAGTAAATATTTATGTTTGGTTGATATCCTATGTACAAAGTTACATAGTCTACAAATGCTCTCCTCTATGGATCTTTGATTTGTTTTGCCTGTGTTTGAAATTCGCCTGTATGTGGATATATAAAACTGGATGTAAAATACACAGCCTGCGTATGGGTCTTGCTGTATATGCTAAACACAGACTCTTTCCTTATTGTGTTTCCCAGTATTCCCCTGTTTTCCTCCTTTATATTTATTACATTAAACTGTTGTTTTTATATATTTGCCAATCTACGGAAAACAAGGCGCTTGTTGTCAGTTTCAAAATATGGTGCTGATTCCTCAGTGATTTTTTTTGGAATAAGTCGTTATTGTTCATCGGCATAAAGACTTATTGTCAATGATAATAATGCTTCGAAAAACGACTTGTTTCATCTCTCTTGTTTCATCGCTGTTGCTAGTTATTGTTCAGATTCAATCATATCTATTGCTTCCCAGTTGAAAGATGCTGTAAAAGAAACGCTCAAAATTTTTGCAGAAAACATATCATTGAATTACGTCAGTCTCAAGGTATGCATTTAGGCTATATATACCTCTGTATCTAGCAAACTTACTGAACCAATCAATGAATCAACCACCCAATCTATTAATCAACGTATCAACCAATCACTCATCATCATTAATCATTAGAATCTATCCTCATCAGTCATATCCTACATTTATAACACCATGCCCTTAATCACAAGTTTAATCTGAAAGCCATTAATTGTATTAAATCTATTTATCAAAATTGATTGATATTCATCTCTAAAGATTTCCATTGATAAACCAGCCATTTAGAGCCACAATATTCGCTAATTTCAAAAGAATTTGGTTTTCTTTATCCGCCCTCAAGACTTTTTAACCGAGATTTTTTACCATGTTTTGTTTAAGGTTGCTAAAGTGTCGAGTCAGGTAAAAAATCCAAAGACACAAGCTGAAGCGCTGGTTTGGATGTCTGAAGGTCTCAGGGAATTTGGTTTCAAGTATGTACCCAAACTATTTTTTATTTTTACAAAATATTTGTTGAAAGCTGAGATTCTTCACCGCACATTTAAGGGCCTTAATTTTCAGTTCTGAGGGAAGCTCCTTTTTGCCTATGTTTTGAGCGTATTTTCGGTATATCACTTTATTTTGACATGTTGTTTCGTCCGTTTCAGAATTGATATGAAGCCGCACATTGCATTCATAAAGACATCGCTACAAAACACTAACCCGGTACTGTTCCTGTCATTTTCATGCCTTTTCTTGCTGGATATGTCCTCTGCTCTCAATCATAAATCATTTATAATCACAGCTTTGTCTTTAATAAAAGTTTATCTCTGCTGAATCGACATTTTCGTTTGTCACTCATTTTACTTCATTTCATTCAGGCTATTCGTGGCGCTGCTGTGCAGTTTCTTGCAACATTATACCTCTACGCAGGCCCGAGCTTGCGAACAGTTTTTGAAGACGAAAAGCCGGCTCTGCTTCAACAAATTGATGCTGAATTCGATAAGGTTGGCGCAGCCTTTGATGATTCTTATAAGGATCTGATTCCTTAGAGTAGACCCATCTCTGTTTCTTTGGTCTTCATTGTTCTCATGCAAATTCTGCTTTATTTAACATTCAGTGATGTTGGAACACGTTCTGAACCAATTTCCCCCCTAAATAAGCCCTGTCAACCTTGATGGAATAAGCGAAAGTGAAAGTGATCACAATTGTTTTGAAATGACAACACTCTTTTTTTATAAGAAAATTTTTATAAGAACACGGGCGTCAAAATTTGTCAAAAGTTAAGAACAAATTAAGAACAAGCTGAGGCTGCGCTACTGTGCAATGCACTTTTCCATTTCACAAGTTTTTTGCCATCTAGGGGGGCTTTTTCGTTGAATTTTCAAACTTGTCGGCAATTAAAGGATTTCTCACTCACCTTTTTGGCAAATGAGGCCTGAACACACCCTAAAGTAAACTAGCTAGCAATATCACAGCCCGCCTGGACTTTAATTTACTGGTTTTTATAAAAAAGAGTGTATAGCAAAGTTACATTGATAATAAATTTGCTTCGACTCTAAAGATGCTCTGCTAAAATGTTCTGGGCCCGAGCCTTGTTCGCTAAACTAAGCCTTGTTCTACGACAGGTGAAAGACGAAAAGCCTCCAGCTCCCGTGCGAAAAGTTCTCGGAGACCAAGACGACGAGGATGAAGAAGAAGAAGGGGCCGATGGTGAACAGGATGAAGACGCAGTTGATGGAGAGGCCGGTGGAATGAATGCGGATGACCTCGTTGACAGAAAGAACATCAGGTTTGCTATCCTTGATTGACGTAAACTTAATACTGCTTATATGAATATTTTTATATGGCCGCATATTATCGAAATATGCATGTATCAATAGCTTTGTTATGTATCAAATCACACTCTGACGTATTTAATATACATTGCGACCCTGCAATGCCAGATTAGCTTGGGCTGGTTGCATATCACTCAAGTTTACTATTTTTTATTATTATTGATATCATTTTGAAAAAAGAACGGTGTTAAATTCCCTGCTTCAAATCCTGGTGTCAAATCTTCTTTGCCAAAGCAATTTCCTAAGCATTCATATTTTATAGGCTTTCAGTTCGTCTGGCAAAACGGTGTAATTGATCTTAATAAAGGTTTAAAAATAATTGGTGCCATCGAAAAGACGGACACTAGATGAATAATTATATATCATAGAAGTCTGATTTGTTTTTGCTGTTTATTAGCTATTATCAGTCGCTAGTGTTTTCACATTCCAGCCCTCTGTGAAATTTCATGAAATTCCCTTTTTGCGTGTAACAAAATGTTTCTACTAATGACTTCAAAGTCATGCATTCATAATCACATAAAGTAACCATGTGAAAAATTTTCTTTCCAGTGATAAAATAACAGAGGCCCTAATATCAAAACTAACGGACAAGAATTGGAAAATAAGGAATGAGGGTTTGCAGGAGGTAATTATTTAACAGTACACTTTACTTTTATTGAGTGTTGAGATAATTTTATATTCAATAAAACATTAGAAGTGTTACTGTTCTTGCCGTCTGTTCATTGCAGTCCAATTTTCTTCATCATAGAGGACCATACTATCGTCTGAAGACCCTTTTTTGACTTTGAAGTTAATAGTCATCGTACATTTTGTAGGTCGTCGAATTATTAAAAGAAAACAAATTCATAATGCCTGACATTGGTGAGCTCCCTATTGCGCTTAAAGCTCGTCTTGGCGAGAGCAACAAAAATCTGGTGCGTTTTTTCGTTCTTTGATATTTTTAAACACTTGTTTTAAGTCGATAATAGTGAACATGTTTACGTACGTACTGTATGTGTATTTTTTTCATCCTTCAGGCCTATTCTAGGAGTACAGAAAATGGGCTAACGAACATTTTTTGTCGCCTTAGGTGATGATATCACTAGGGATTTGTAAAACGCTGGCTGAAGGAATAGGATCGCAGGTGTCGAGGCACAAGGGCACTTTGCTGCTGGCCATGATAAGCACTATGAACGATGCAAAGGTAAGCAGTTTCTATTGAAGTCAAGACGCGATAAAAAGTATCCGAGATTCAGAGTTGAATATATCATATGAATAATCTTCGCTTTTAAAATTAAATGCAAACTCAAAACACTAGTTCAAGTTTGGATCGAGGATATTCCTATCTTGGATCGAGGATATTCTATGCATTGACATCGCTTGTCGTTTCAAATGAATCACATCGATAGCTGATAAAAATTTAACTTTTTTAAACGACAGTTAGTTGTCAGCAGTTAAAGAGTTGTCCTGATGTTTGTAAAAGCTTGTTTGATATTATCGGCTGCAATTCAAGTTAACTAAACCCTCCTCTACCCCCCCCCTCTTTTGTTTGATGAGAGATTCCTGATATTTCCTCCTGGTTGATATGAGTACCCCTTACTGTAATGTGGCTCATCTTGTCGTCACAGGAATATACTGTTGCTTTAAAATTGTATTTGTAATCTCTCCATTTCATTTTAACTGGTTCTCACTTTAAAAAAATTCTTTTTTTACTTCAAGCTGCCTTCAATAGCCCTGTTGGTAGTATTAAAATATATCGTTCAAAATATCAAATGCATTTTTCGTCTGCATATCCTTGCAGTTTCAATTTTCGTTATCGCCTCAAACTTCTTTCTTCCATGTAGCCACAAGTCACAGTCACTGCCAAGGAAGCTTTGTCTGCTTGGCATTCCAAGATTGGCTTTGCACCCTTTCTGACAGATGAGATTCTGTCATCAGCAATGAAGATACCCAAGCCTAACCTAAGAATCGGGGTATGTGGAGACGTTTTGTACACAGTTATTCGAATCCTTCCCTTTCTGAATGGAGTCATAGATGCACTTTTTTACGTACGCCTTAATCCTTAATTTACACTTAAATGTTTCACAGAAGCTCGTCTAGGCACAAAGTTGTTGAAGTGATTTATTCAATTTTCAATTGGTCTGCTTTGCTCTTAATAATCAATCATAGTATTCAAGCTCGATTGAAGTGAGAAACACGGACAAATTTGTTTGAAAACTTTATTTTATTTAATTCTTTTTTGTGATCGAAAGTTTTTTTGGTTTTTTTATCGGTGCAAACCCTAGAAGCAACAATGTTTGGTTTTATCTAACTTCGTTTTATACAAGTTACTCTGCTGTCCTTCTAGTTTCCGTTGAAGATCTTTTTTAATCATCAAAACTTGATGCCTCAGTTCTTTGTTATAAGGCCCGTTTCTTTGAATTTTTTATCATTGGGATTTCTTTAAATTTTATTTTGGCTGACTTCAGTCTAGTTCTTTTTATTTGAAATTTTTTCTTGCATTTAAAGTTACTTTCTTGGATGGAAGAGATTTTGAAGTTGGAGACGAAAAAGCTTCCCGCTGATCTGCTAGAATCGATTCCGGCTCTCTTTGGCTGCTTGGAAGATAGAAATGCCGAAGTGCGAAAGAACGCCCAAGCAGTATTGCCATTGGTAATGGCACACACGGGCTTTGAACCGATGGCAAAAGCAGCTAACAAACTGGAAGTAAGTTTAGCGTGTCATTCTTTTTAATGGATTGCTTATGACAAGACCAGAAAAAAAAACAAATGTATTCAAGGTCTGGATGACGACAAAAGGGACACATTGTAAACAAACGACATATTTATCAAATGGAAAGTAATTTTTATCGTGTGTGGAAAAATCTGTCCATTTGTCCACTATTAGAATTGAAAGCAAGGCATCCAAGTATCGGGTAATTATAACCCAATGAAGAAAAATATTGTCAAGAAGATCTTGCTTCGACTAAAGTGTTTGTTTGACATGGTGAATGTGTTAAATGGCAATGAACTTCGCTTTTCTGCACTTCCATGCGAGAGCTTTTTTGCATATTGTGTACTTATTATTTTTAACTGTGCAATTTGAATAAAACTGACTGCACACCCTGCAAGAATCTTCCTTTCCTGTGTTGGTAATCATTGAGTTTATTTGTGCCCCGTTTATTTTCTTCGTCTATAGAATGTCTCTGTTATACTTCTGCTTGTATTGTTAGGCTTCTTCAAAGGCTACAGTAATGACTTTGCTCGAGAAAGCAAGAGAAACATGTGTCCCCATCCAAACGGCAAAAAAGACAAAAACAGCCAAGCAATCAAAGCCTGCTTCCTCAGGAGCATCAACCTCGGATGCCCCGGCAAGGGAAGTCAAAAAGGTAGCTGAGGAGTCTAAGAAGACAAAAAGCGCAGAAAACAAAAAGCCTGCAGCCAAAAAGGTATTTATTCACAGTTCCTTTTTCTTACTTGATCGTAAAGATGAAATCCTGAATTTTCCAAGATACTGATGCTCTTTCAATTCGTGAGATTTCTGATATGATAAACATAAAGTGAAATAAAATACAGATACGTTTGCATCAGGATTGAAAATGGGTGTTTGAAAAGACCGGAGCAAATCAATCCTTGTTGACCTTTCAGCCGGCATCTGCATCTACTTCGAAAAAGAAAAATCAAGAAGAGGACGATGGGCCCGCAATTTTGCATAAAATTGGCAAAGATCAAAGAATGAAGGACGAAAAAAGTCTCAAGGTTTGTGGTTTTTTTTAGTTTGAATAGTCCCGTTTGCAATAGTTAAAAGCTAGAAAAACCATCATGGACACTGTGTTGACAAGGTTGTTGACAAGGTGTTGAGGCTGATGTCCAAGCGCCCATGTTTCAACTTACAAGGCCAGTAGCTCTTTTTCTCGTCTTGTTGACCATTGCGTTAGATCTACAAATTAAGTCATGATATCGTCAATTTACCCTTTTTGAGTGTTCTTTGTACAAATGCCGATTACCTAAGACCTTCTCTATGCTTAAACAGACTTTAAAGTGGAACTTTACGACTCCACGTGAAGAAATGGTGCAACAACTCAAAGATCAGATGACTCCATGTTTTAGTGGTAGCATGATGAAGAGGTTGTTTCACGACGACTTCAAATTTCATATAGAAGCAATTGCGTTGTTCTCTCAAGTAAGTAGCCCATTGTGGAAGCGGCTAGTTTGTGCCGTAGTGTACATCTCTGTGATGGCTTTTTAGAATTGTGAGTACATCGGTTTTCTTGTCAGATATCGTTGATGAAATCCTGCTATATCTTTGTATTTTTAGTTGTGTAACGACTAATACAGCACCTGCATGACAATTATGAATTTGATACGAACCAATTTTGTGTCCATGTTTTTTTTGGAGCTAGACATGGTAAAAAGTGATTTCCTTACTTCAGTGCTCCCTCAGCCGAATGTGTAGGCCCATACTAACTGAGTTATGACGTGTACTACGGATACTTAAATATGAAGAATAATCGATGCGTCTTCAGTTTTTAGGCCGATATCAATCATGATAATAACAATACCAATAATATCTAATGATAACAACCAATGTTTTTAATCATTGCTGGGAGTTAATTCAATGTGGTTGTACTTGATCATCGTCAATGTTTTGTCTGTTCGTTTCCCTTATGGCAATCTAACTTGTTGATTTGTCGTAGGGCCTGTCTTCAAATACGCCAGCGATGATTGAGTCCCTTGACATTATACTGCGCTGGTTCACGCTGCGATTTTTCGACACCAATACAAGTGTACTACTCAAATCTCTTGAATTCCTGGAATCGTTATTCGATATTCTTGCGGAAGAGAATCACAATTTGTCCGAATTCGAAGGATCGTCGTTTGTCCCTTACCTTATCTTAAAGGTAACTTAATCTTTATTGTCTCTAAACTTCCTCTAAGTTGCACTTCCTTTTGTCTAAGACACGACTTTCAGTAACACTGTCTTGTTCCTTATTTACTCTTCTGGTTATCGCAATGGATTTGGCAGCTCTGCACGCCTTTATTCCGTATGTTTATTGTTTTATAGATTGGAGATCCAAAAGACAACGTAAGGAAATCCGTTCACAATCTCTTCAAAAAGTTGGCAGATATTTATCCAGCAACTAAACTGTTTACTTTTTTGATGGAAGGATTGGTCTCCAAAAATTCGAAAACAAGGATGGGTGAGACAATTGTCTTTGCTTTAACTAATCTGTGTGACAATTAAATTACTTGTTAAATTCGCAATGTAGTGTAGAATGTTTTGTTTTTTTAAATGATACCTACAAGAGGGTGTTTCCTATGCATACTGATCTAAGAAATTTAGAAATAGATCTAAAAAGGGATAATAGACACAACAATATTTGGATATTTCAAGGAAAATGTTTTCAGTATTCTGATGCTGATTTGGAATCAATAAAAAATAGCCGTCCAGGTTACTAAATAATTCTTTTAGAATTCACTTTTTTAACTTGAATTCTTTAACTTTACACGTAAAAATATCGAAAAGCTCTTTATCTTTGTATCAACACATTTTAGAGTGCTTGGTGGAGCTTGGTACCTTGATTTCAAAAAGTGGCATTGAGGTTTGCCAACCAACCCCTGCGAAGGCTTTGAAAGAAATGGCAGTTCAGATAGCTGATAGAGACAACGGAGTGCGCTCGGCAGCTTTGAATGCCATTGTGGAGGCGTATAATATAGTTGGTGAGCAGGTTTATAAAATGATTGGAAGGGTGAGTAGGAGCTTTTGTTCTGTATATTTGTATTAGTTTGTCATTTATGTTCTTGTCGCAGTTTTGGTGAAAAGGGAGTGACAATCAAAGCTGCTACTACCTGCTCCTTACGCACAAATTGAATGTCAAATGCTTCCAGGCAAACGTAATTAACCTCGGCACCATGATTGTAATCTATTTTCTGCACATTTGGCAAAGTCTATTTTCGAATCTCAGGATATTTAATCAAGCTGTTAATATGTATTGTACTGTACTTGGTGTAGGGAGACACAAGGTCATTTAACCGCAAACGACCATTCATTAAGAACTGTAACTAAAGTTTTAAACATTTGGCTAATACCTATAAACAGTTTAAGAAAACAGTCTCAACAATGATTCCAACCCAATTGCAGTTAACATCTGTTGTTTTTATGGTCGCCCCACGCTAGTAATGTTTCTCTTTTTTCAAAGCTGAATGACAAAGACAGGAGCTATTTAGAAGAAAGAATAAAACGTGCTGGCAAAGTGAAGGCTGCCCAACCCCCGGAACCAAAAAAGCCGCCCACTGAAGCCAACAAAAGCAAAATTGCTCCGAACAAGCCAGCTTCCGATGCAAAGGACCAGACTGATTCGCAAGTTTTGGTTGTTTCAAAAATAAAAGGCCGGGGGAGCTCTTCTTCTAAGTAATCTTCAAATATTTCTTTTTTGAACAAGTTCGCTTGTTACCGGTTAATGCGTTGTTGATTACATGTCAGTTATATTAATTTGTAAAAATATATTTAGGTGATCAGTAATAATACACAATTTCAGAAGAAGTTCAGTTTTTTGGCAATTCTCAAGAATAGTGCTTCCTATGTCTTTTTTTAATTTGATGTCAATGTTTCCTTTATTCATTTAGTTTGATAAGATCAATTTTAATTCACGTATTTGGTATGTTCTACTGTTGTTCTGTAAAGTGTAGAGATTACACGAGGCCATCACAGATATTGTCAAGCATTTCGATCATATATTTATTGTTTTATATTTTAGTGATGGCCCAGTTCGTCCGAACACATCTCCACAAGTCAAGCGGGAATTCGAATTGGACTATGAACAGATAAAAGGAGGCAAAGATATTATTAAGGGGGTCAAGCCAAAACTAATCGAAGTTGATGTTGATGATGATGATTTCACCATTGCTAAACCACTGTGAGTTTGACATATCCGTTGCTTTTTACACAGAGCCCACAGCAAGTTTGAGGGTAGAACTTTGATGTATTCTGTTTCGTTAAAAGGTTTTCTTTTTGGTTTTCAAATGCTAGCTCGCCAGAATGACACCTGCGTCAGTGATCTTTGTCAGGATTGGTTTCTCTTTTTTGTAAACTCTGTCTTTGGTGTCACTGAAAAAACCTGGCTATTTTGTATTTGGTATTAATGTTTGTCTTTTTGTTGCTAGGGTCAATGTGGCTGGCAAAACAGCAATGACGTCAGCTGCCCGCGATATTCCCGCGTGGCTTGACTTGACCATCGCCCAGATCGCTAGCAGTGAGGTAAATGTTAGCTTGGAGGCTTTAGCGCAATTTGAAGAGGTTTTTAAGAGACACAATGAAGAGCCCGAAGTTATCAAAAAAATTGACCAGGTAAAGCTCTCGGTGGATTTTTTGAAATTATCTTGTTTAATTTGTTTGAGTTAAAATTTTGATTGTTAAATTATGGAATTTAACATACACAATGATACTACTGGATTTTCATATTTTTATCTCTATCACTTAAGTGAGAGGTCTGGAATCAAAGAGCTCTGCTAAGTTGAAAGTTAGCAAATGCCTATCTTTAAAAGGCAAAGCACTAAACAGTTCTCTTAGCCATCGATAAAGGAATCAAAATTCCTTTGAAATCCTTGGAATTCCCAAATATATAGGTAATTTTGAATACTAGAATACGAATAAAGGCTAGTTTGCCTATTCATGTTTATCTTTCAAGAAATTTTTTAAAGTTTGACAAAACATGGTACCTCGAAGCAAAAAAATCAGGCGTTATTTATCGGGTTATGCAAAAGCTCTTTCTGTCAAAAGTATACCTGATTGTCTAAACTTTTATTAATTTCGAAGTTTTATTTTCAGTATCTGCTAACATGCTTGGTTCAGTTCCGAATGTTTTTCTCGCGTCACTTGGAAATGAAAGAGAATTCGCAAGAAGAGATCATTCGCTTGATGAAATACCTCCTCAACGGCTTCATGCTTACATTTTCAACTACCTCACTGGCTGCCGCGGTCTCTAAAAATGTGCTTAAAGACAGCATTATGTTTTTTGTCAACATCATGCTCGACAGCAAACTATCCCAGCTAGAAGAATGTGCTGTTGTTGTAAAGACTATCAATATAATTTTGCTTAAAGTTATCCACAATGGTGACCAGACATCGAGTTTTTGGTAAGTTTTTCCAATTATTCTTCTTACTTCAATTCCATTCAATTCAGAATATGAATACTTGAAGAAGTAGACCCTCTTTGGTTTATTCTAAAATATGTTTCAATTTTCAAAAGTAGATGCGCACAGCGACTAGCAAATGTACTTAAAGTGTTAGCATGTTATCAACACCCTCGTAAAGGTGACTGTAATAAAATTTAGAAGAAAACCAATGGATGATCCAGATTGAGGAGTTTGCTCAACAGCTCTGTTTGGTCCTGGCTAGGGATGATTTTGCGGCTTTGGACGTTTTGTTTCAAGTTTTGATTTTGACTCTTTTCATGGGCTCATATTTAAAGCAAACATGACCCGTTAGGTAGAAGAAGGCTTGTAAAAGGGTTTCTTTCGGGAAAAAGGTTTGTTTAGGTGTGACATGGCGACGGGTCTCGCGAGTAGATTCCTGTTTTGCTCCAGTTAAACCCCTTTTATTTTGTGGTATTGAGCATCGATTTTTAGTGCGACGAATGAGTACAACAGTTCTTGTATTCCCTTTTAGGGCCGTTATCAAGCTGATGATGGATGGAATAGAACATGAAATTCCACAGAAAGTTCAAGATTTGTACCTCAAGGTGATTCTACTTCTTCTAGTTATGTTGCCAATATTTATTTCATCCTTTAAGCTGTATGTCATTTATATTATGTCATTTATATTGTCATTTTTATATATTTAAGCTGTATGTCATATGTTCAATATTAATTTTTATTCAAATTTCATATCAAACAACATTGCAAAGCTTGTTTCGTGTAGAATGCAAAACCTTTATATCTTTGCTCAAAAAAGAGAGCATCACAAAAATGTGCAAAAAACCTCTTGACACAAGGATATTTGGCCTGCGCATAGTTAAAATTACGCCTAAGTCGAAAATATGTTTCTTGTCCGAATAGATTCAATTTTAAGGCTGTTGCTGAAAGATTTATGCACTGCTGTTGTTAACTAGATAACCTGTTTATTCCATTTTTATTTGAAGTACAATGTTATTTCAAGTATAATAGTTGTCAAATATATCAAGACAAATCGTTTCATTGCATATACTGTGAATGCTGTTAGTGAATGAATGAAGTCCTGCCACTTAGCCTCCAGTATCACATTAATTCTATCTGCGTTTTTCACTTGGTTTTCTTAACTCATATATTTTTCCAGTGTTTGTGGAAACTTGCCCGGTATTTGCCCGAACGTATTCAAGACTTCCGGACTGATGCTGCTCTACTTGACATGCATCTGTTTTTGAAGAAATACCCATCCTCTTACTGGAGAACAAAATCGGACCGAAGACCCATGGAAACAATCAGATTGTTTCTCCGGACTTTAATGAAACTTCTTGGTCCGGATGTAAGTAAATGTTCGTTGATATGATGTAATATAATGGGAAGATAATAATGATAGTTCTTTTGAATCTAAACAGGTGGGAAACAGTTAACCTTTGCCAAGAATTCAATTTTTCGATATCAAATGCCTGATTGGGAAAATGGTTCTCAGCTTTTTATCCATATTGTGTTTGCTGGACACTAAATTCTTTTCTAGTTGTCAGTCAAAAAGCAATGAGGGATGCGAAACTCTTTCATTAAATGCTTGGTCCTGCCAAAAAATCGTTATCTGTTGGCTAAGTCTAAATAAAACAAATCGTAATACAGTTTACAAATGCACGTTTTCAATTTTTTTCAACTGACGACTATGCTTTTGCTGTCATGTGATCTCTGTGAGTCTCCGTAATGGTGTATGACTGAGATTATTTGGATACTCAATCATATTATTTCTGCAGAGTTTTCCTCGCCCTATTGATATTTTTCTGTTGTAGATTTTGAATAAAACAATTCTAATTGAGGACCCAGATGCCAGTGAGCTTGTTCCGTTTTTGAAGAAGTCAATGCAAAAGACTACTGACACAAAGGCAGCTGTAAACACTGAAAGTGTGAAGGAAACAAAGGTATGTTTTCTAGCATAGTCACCGGCCGTCCACATTCAAAATTTCAAGCAATCTGTCCATTGAGGGGGCAAGATGAGTTGTGTGGGCGATTGAAAATAATGAACCAGTTCAATTTTGACAAAAAACGAATGGTTAATTGACAACATATTAGTGAACACCCTGGTGTGTTTTAACTAAAAGGTAATAAAGTGAGATTATAAAAGTAATAAAATTTGTTCAGTAAGAAGTGTCCTCAAACCAAGATTCATATTCGGGAGCTGCCCCCATTCAGTATTCTGTTTGTAAGGAAACAGTACACAGTTGGGGCTGGATCTCTGTAACCCACTCTGTGAAATGGTTGCCAGTGACTTAATTGACTTCAAATGACTGAATCAGTGTTGGAACTATGGTGAACCAGTGTCGAAATGGAGTTCCTTCAGGTTGTTTTTGGTTTTCCTAGGTTGAGCAATCAATATCTAATGGAGGTGGAGAAAAATCAACTGTTGATATGTTACAAGAAATCTTTAAGAAGATTGGATCAAAGGAAAATAGCCAAGAGGTAAATTGAAACGTTATTTGTGAGTCTCACTGATGTAAAATGCAAGCAGTTTATCTGGTCGTATTTGATAGAAAAACAGTGAAACTCTTTTCATTGTAACAATTTGTGCTGATGCCTTAGATATGATACACATTGTGATACAGCAGGTGACCATCAGAATGAGGCAAAAGCCATTTTAATAATGGAAACAAACAGGCACGCCATATTTGTAAAAGTTAGAATGATTATTGTACTAAGATAAAATGTGATTTAAACCTGGGTCAACATTTCCTGTGCTTGCTGTTTAGGGTTTGAAAGAACTGTATGAATTTAAAGAGAAATACCCGGAAGAAGATGTTGAGCCATATTATGCAAAAACGTCACAATTTTTTCGCAATTACATTGAGCGTGGTTTGAAATCTATTGAGACAAAACGGAAGTCACCTGATCAAACGGCAGGTAAATTTACCAATTTGCCTATTTCATATATTCATTGTTTTTTACTCTTTACTCTTGGGTGGCACTTTTTGCTATGAAAATCTTTTCAATTGAAGATTTTGTGTTGTCTGCACTTTCCATTTTTCCTATGATTTAGTTAAATACATTACACTGTGCAGCAGTATTTGCATTCATTTTACCTTGCAAACATATGCAAAGTCTCTTTGCCTTTGTGTCAGATGGCTCCAGAACCCTCATTTCAATCGGGAACAATGGAGGCATGCAAGGCAATGGTGTGACGTCAGTTGGAGGTAATTACCCCATTTTTAACTCTGTAGCTTAACTACTTGCTTTTATCAAATATTTAGGATGAAAGCAAGAAATTTGTGTAGACAACATTTCCTAACAATGAGATGCAAGGACGTGATGGAATCAAGCAGCATGTTTTTACTTTCCAGGGACAGAGACTAGGTCTACTAACATTGAACCCAGTAATGTCTGTTTTCTTACTTGCTTTGTTACTTAATTTTTAGTACAATGTTAAGTACAGTTTGAGAAGTCATTTGCTACAGGTAGGCAATGTGATAGCTCTGAAATCAACATTTTGTTTGAGTATGTCAGATAGGTGGTGACTAATAACACGAGAAGTTTTCAGGGCATCAGGGCTTATCGTCTGGTCACTTGACATATCAAATGATGTGACAGATTACTTGTCATATCAAACGAGGCATTTAACACATTACATTACCATAATGAGGAGACTTCTACTTACCAAAGTAACCAATCTATCTTAAGGATACTTATCGCCAGATTAAATGCCTTTGATTTCATGGCTGTCTGGCTTTGAAGCATAGCTTTGAGTGTGCTAAGTGTCTGTGCTCAGGGCCAGATTGTCTCTGAGAGGGCCTTATAGAGTGGAAATGTGATGACATCAGAAAGATTTATTTCAAAATTTTTTGGATTTTGAACTAGTGTGTTGAAAAAGCTAGATCTGTTACTAGTGAGGATGATAAGCTGAAAAAATGTTCAAATTGTGATAAAAGCATGAAGCTTGGTGAAAATAAACAATTTGATATGCGTAACAAGATAGGATATAGACCTCTTCCGACAAATGCACCCTTGTGCTATTTTTAGACTAGGGTACTTGTACCTGGTCCACCGAACACGTTATTGTGTTAAATTCCTTCCTGTTAGCTTTACAACAAAGAAACTTTGCAAACCCACATAATTTGATGTACCAAGAAAGTCAAATTTAATCTCTAAACTTGGAAATACTCCTTGTGCTATTTTGAGACAAGGGACACTTGTGACCAGTCCTCAGAGGATATAAGTGTGGTTAGTATCTTTCTAGTAGTTATAGAGCCACAAAACTTAGTAAAACTATATAATTTAAGATGATGAAAAAGATTAAAGTGGTTTCATAACTCAGAAATACCAATAGTGCTATTTGTAGACTAGGGTAGCTTACGAAAAATGGTTCACAAACGATTTTTAAAGCATTTGCTGATGTTTTGGAGAGCGAAGGAAATCCATTCGAAGAAGAGGAATATACCGTAAATCCTCGATTCAGCCCCTGTACATCAGTACTATTGATGTAACAGCTTTTCTGCGCTATTTTTAGACTTGTGGTGCCAAAGTATTTTAAGGCACTTGTCTTTCAAGTGTTAATAGACACCCGCAAAAATGTAGCACATTGGGGGTAAACAACTATTTTCTGACTCCACCTGGTACAAAAAATATAAAGTTACATTATTTTTGTCTAAACTATTTCTGGGGGTTTATATGCTGTGCTACAGTTTGACAATCAGCCCTGCCTACCTCACAGACACTCAGAAAGTTGTCCCTGGTCTCAGGCCTGTGATTCCGTCGTGGAATGCACATTGAGCCAATCCCTCCAGCATCCAGCCAATCCTTTAATGTACTCATTGGCCTGCCACTTTCCATTCTATCATCCACCTTTTCCAAACTAATTTCATGAAAATTAGCACACTGAATAGATTTTATGATAAAGAATCTAATACAAAATTATAGGCCCATCTATCTTACCTCTAATTTAGCCTGGTAAGTATGAGATATGAATTTCATTTTGAGCAGCCATTTTGAGTAGCCCCTGAAGAAAATCTACATCTGGCTGACATTCAAAATACTTAAGAACCCCTACTATATACTGTGCTTTAAAAAATAGAAATAATTGCTGAGACTCATCACAGGTATTCATGAATTTTTTTGACAATGCAGGTGTTATGAACTCAGATTCTAAAATGAGTTTATAAAAGGAGGAGCTGATTTACATTCTTTTTTCTTTTCTTGCTAGGAAATTAACACACATTTGTTCCTTCTTTCTAGGTGCAGATAAATACTTAGACCGTTTAAAACTGTTGCGTGAAAAATATTTGCAAATGAATAATGAGGTACTAAATAATTCTTTTTTATCACATACCCTGTTTCAATGAATTGCCTATCACTATTCCTTGGTAAATAATTATTACATTAAGCATTTTTTATCGGAATTAGAAGCATCATATTTTTATCAATGTCTATCGTCCTTCTTATAAACTTAATTTATAATAAAAGCATGCTGATATCAAATAGAAACAGTATGTTCACCCACAGCTAGTAGATAAACAGGGCCTTCTTTATATTATAATTCAGTTCTTTATTGAAAATGCCACTCTCAACTTGCCAAGCAACCATTTTATATTGATATACAGGCTTGTTAAGTTTAAACCCCTTGCAATCATCCCTATCACCAATCTGAACATGTCACATGCTTGCCTTATAACAGAAGCCAAACTGTCCATCATTACCACAGAACTTGCTTTAAACCAACTTTTTGTAATAAGCATCTCCCTGAAGTGCTATGTTTACACAGTTTGACAGTTAATCCAAACAAGTCTCCTATTTGTTTTCAGCAGTCTCAAAGTGAACAGCAAAAAGATTCTGTTGACAACAAACCATCTTTACCTTTGGTTGATATAACAACATCAAATCAACAAGAACAACCCATGGTAAGTCTAGAGCTTCACTCAGTTTAAAGACACCATTGTCCTCTAAATATTGTCCTGTTATTTTTAATTTTTAACTTATAATCAAACACTTGCTGCCTAAGGAGGTACAAACAAACCATCAAAGGAGACTGGTGTATAAGAATGCCTTGAACCTTTTAATCTTGGATCTTAAAAAAGAACTTGTGGTCTTTAATGCCAAATCACCCTCTTTTTAGAGATTTTTGCATTTAAATTCATGAAGTGTCAACAATTTACCACAATGCTCAGAAATATTCTATGAGCAATATTAACCAGCACTTGCTCTGGTTCATAATGTCACATCTCTTATTAAATAAACTTGGTGAAGAAATAAACTTTAAAATATAAGCATATATAAACTTTAAAGATGTTCTTTTACATTCATGCTTTTGTGGAGGCATTCGTATAAGTAGGTTTTATTTTCATACTTAACATTTAAGATAATTGAAAATTATTTGCAAAGGAAAGAATTATTTCTTGCAGTAACATTCAAATTTATTACAAAATTATTCTTGTTTGCAATAAACTGCAATATATAGCTAAATAGTGACACTGCCTTAGTAGGTGGCCTTTTTAGTTCTCTTTATTTAACAGCTGTTATTAATAAGAAGGCAGGCCTTTTAAGATGGGTTTGAAAAAGGAAGCATTTTATTTAACTTTATTAGAGGGTGTCAATTCAAAAGGATAAATTGGAAAGAAGGGAGCATTTACTTGAAGGGCACACTTTTATATTAAGAAACATATATACATATTAGAAACATGAGGTTGAGATTGCTGAAAAAAATATAAAAAACATTTATAAGACATATAGCCAGGTTCAAATTAGAGACTAAATGGTTTTCATAACATGCAGAATTTTGTACCTGGAACAAATAAAGAAAAACAAAAAAATCGAAACAAGGTAAAAATACAAGGAATTATATCAAAGGATATTTAAAATTGAACTTACACTTAAAATGTTTGAGGCTGAGTCTGGGAGATATTTAATGTTTATGAGACTGACATTAACTCATTTTGTGTGTCTCTTATACAAAAAACATGTTAATTTGTGTTGAAAGCAGTTATGGTGTAGACTAAAAATGCCTCCAAAGACATCTGATATTTAAAAATTCTGTTTATTCTGCTCAAACTGCAAATACTGCTACTAGCACCAAACCATTTCAAAATGCCATATATTTGATTTCTGGGATAATGTTGCCTGCTTCTTGCTTTTTCAGCCTGACATCACACAAGTGGCAGAGAAAAAGGAGAAGAAGGAGGTCAATTTGGATGATTTACGTAGAAGATTACAACAAATAAAGAAAGGCTCTTCAAGCTAGCATTGTGGAATACCATTGATAGGAAAAACTTGTGTAAGATGGTGGCTACTGATAGCTTGTATGATATGTGAAGCACCCACTGCCCAGTGCCAACAAATGCATGTGTCATTAAAACTAGATTCCAGTTTACATTAAGGGATTTATTCATTTCAACAGAATGAGCTAATTCCTTGTAATGGTTGATTCTAATTGTAGTTGTGACATTGCTTTAGAGCAGTCATAGTTAGAATTTATGTCCATAGTTGGTGTAATTATGTACTGTAACAAATCAAAATTATTTTTCTCTTATGCTGATACATTTTTCCTTTGTTTATCCTGGCAATGCTTAGTGACTAGCTACAAAGTAAAAAGAATTTGTTTTATAAGGAAAAAAGAACCTTGGTCAATTTTACATTTCAGGAATATGGATTTTTTAAGAATTTCTTTTTAAGTTTTCTTGAACCTTGACATTCAATTGCAACATGGGGCAAAATGAGAGAAGTTTTCAAAAATCACAATAGCTTTTTCAAGGGTTACTGTATTTCAAATGCTTAAACTTTTTCACACAAACATTAGACAACATCTAGATGGAATAGTATTTACAAACCTAGATCACAAGTCTTGTTGGTTGACATAGAATTTATAACTGAACATTATTGAATTACAAATATTGTCATAAAAACCTATCGGCTTTTGGTTAAAAAAGTCAAGAGTTTTTAAAAATGAGCATTGAGTTATTTTTAAAAATGAACATTGTAAAAAGTTTAAGTCAAAAAGATAGAGATTTGAACTCTCTAAATAATGTACAGGCATAGGGTTTACAGTTATTTTTTACAATTTGCTACAGCTTGATGTTTGTTGTTCATGATGCTAATATTTTTTACAATGTTTTAGAATACCTAGTAGCTAATAGTTATTCCTTTATACAGCTTTGAAATCAATTGGTTATGATATTGAAAAGGATAAGATGGAAAAAATGAGCAAACTGGTATTGGGTTGTAATATTTTACATTGTGGAAAAAAGAAATTTCAAAACCTGGCTAGGTATCTCAGTTGGGGAAAAACAATGTATAATACCCTTGGTCATGGACCTGAGCCCTGCCCAGATCAGTCACTTACTCACATTTTCTCTTGGTAAATATTAGGTTTTATCATTTCATGCTTTCTTCCAATATTTTGTTCAAAATTAACTCTATATTCCAATTAAAATTCAAAATGAACTGTTTTTACAAAATTCAGTTCTGTTTTTACCTGTTTTTACCCAATCCAGATATAATAACACAGAACACTCAGTTTATTTACAGTAGCAAATTGAGGGAACTACAAACTTTTATTGCACACTTTTTTAACGATTCACCAATGGATGGTGAATGATCAAGAACAAAACACTTTAGAAATCCTCACTGCCATCAAAGTATGCAGAGGCAAACTCTTGAAATCCAATATATAATTCACCATTATTTCCCACTTTCACTGGGTATACATTTGTTTCTCTGTTACGCTGTGGGACTTTAAGCTTACCAGTATTCAGCTCAATTTTCCAACGATGCCATGGACATACAATGCACAAAATGTTTGCTTCACTGATGGTTTCAATATCTCCTATGTGAAGTGGCCCACCTAGGAATGAAAGAACATCACATTGCACAGTTAGGTAGAATTATTCCTTAAACTTTCTATCGTTAAAATATATCACTTGAATAAATATTGAAATTTTATCACCAAAACCTATTAATGGTTCAGATATGCAGGTACCATCTAAAGGAAAAACTTAAAAAAGTTTAAACTTATATGAACAAATTTATACTGAGAATTTATCAGAATTTACCCAAATGTGGACACTTTTCATCAATTGCATATGCTCTTTCCCCATAACGGAATACAGCAATCTCCTTTTTGTTCAGATGAATAAGTTGTCCACTTTTTGTGTTGTGTTCAACAGCTGTGATTTTTCTCATTTGTTTCCCATACTTCATTCTGTCTCCAAAGTCATGCAAATCTAGGTAGAGGAAACATTTATGAACACTCAATAAGAAAGAAAATTTAAAAAAAAATATCATAATGGATGATACCCTTAGCCTACTTACATGAACAAAAATGGAAAACAGACAGAAAACACAATACTATTGAACAAAATAGTTGACGTTTTCGTGGGTCGCAACAGGCCAGTTTACAACTCATTAAGATTGTTTACAAAAACAGTCACACTTGAGAATAAAGAGCTATGTCAGGATATTTTGGAGGCAGAATCTGAAAGAACAAACTTATTTCAGTCGAGTCGATATTATCGTTTCATTTTGAGTCGATTTTATATTGTTTTGTACAACAGAAACATAGGCCTACCTTGGAAGTTGACTCCATGAACACGAAAGTAATACATATCGTCTCCTGCTGCCGGACTCAGCGAAGGCCTATCAGCTGGTCCTTTGAAGTTTCTACTTTGTACAGCGAAATTCAATCCATTCCTTGTTTCTTCATATTTTATTTCCGTTTTGGTCCCTTCCATTTCCAGTTATAAACATAGCGCCAATTTCGGCTGCGAAAGGTTACCGGCTACCTTCTCGCCATTTGTGCAGAAAGGGCTACATATGAACTACCTTATGGTTAATTGGCTAGTTAAAGGTCACCCAAGGACTAGGTATGCCTAAAACAGCCTAAAAACGGTTCCTTCTTCGCTTGTTTTTAAACTTCGGTGCAATTGTTATCTGTTTTTCCGACTTTCGTTTTCCCGCTAATGTTTATACTCTGCAGTTTATTCCACTTGGCTCCTCCCAAGTTACATGACAATTACACTGTCCCGCGGGCCCCCGCGGACTTATGCGCGAAGGAAGCATGTTTTTCTTTGTGTGAGAAGGAAGAACCGCAGGATAGGCTGTCCGCCGGATTCTGTGAATCTTGCAATGAGATTTTAAATGGAAGATATACAGGAACAAAGCAATACGACGACGAGAATCCAATGTCAAATAAAATTTTCAAAATAAATTAAATTTAAAGAATGTTTTTCTTTCCTTTGATTCTCATTTTATCTATCATCATATCATTAAAGAGTCTAGTGATTTTGTAGAGTTCGTTTAGCTGGACAGGCCGCGAAAAATGCAATTTTTTCAAAAGTTTGCTTTTCTATACATTCCTATGCAATTTGTTGCTGGCAAACAGGGGGTGTATCACATCACTCCATGAATACAGAGCCGTCGCTAAACTCGTCACTTAGGGGGTACCAGTCACTAATTTGCCAACAAAGAAGGGCGTGGCCTAAAATCTATCAAATTTTGAGTGTAGCATTATGACGCAGTTTATTTCATTTATCAAAGAGTATGTTCTCGTCAGTTAATCATAGCTTCGATTTTAGCGTTGTTATTTCCTTTCCCTGAGTACCTGAGAGTGCCTTATTGATTTTACTCTAGAAGTCAAGTTTTTAGCAATGAGATAAACTCATTTTTTCAGATAATTCAGCACGTTTAAATGGAACCTTAGTTTGTATGAGCAGATCTCAGAGGCAGGGCCGCCGAGAGGATTCGGGGGACTTGGGATAAAATAGAGGAGGCCCCTTTTTTGCGACCACGCCCTTTATATTTTCTTAGAATGCATTTCAGAATATTTTTTGCAGTCATTTCTGGCAATCGCTAAGAACATTTTACTATTATCTGGCACACTTTTTGCTACGTTTTATTAATTCCATACTTAAAATGGAATTCATTAGTTTATGAGGCCCCGTAGACCTCGAGGCCCTTTGCAGGAGGGGCAGTTTGCCTCCTTGCCCCTCCTTTCGGCAGCCCTGATCACAGGGGCTTTAACTGGAATATTACCATGGCAACCTTCGTCAAGGCAACATACAATAAATTGTGCCACAACAACAACCCAAATTTCAAAGGTGCTTCCTGCTGATACCATTTGAATAGATGCTGGCCAAGATGTGATGATGATGGAGGAGGGTAAACTAGAATTGTTAAATGACCTTATCTCTGTTGAGTCGGATGTGTATATACGTAAAGTAGACTTTGCAGATTTCGAAAATGACATCGACCTAATTAATCAACACGCTAACGATGAAGATGTTTGCGAGATCGAAACAGCACAGACGAATAATAATGAAAGTGAATTAGATGCAAATGATTGTGCTGGAAATATCGATAAAATTGAAGAGAAGCCTCAAAATGTCTCACTAACAGTTGCAATACACGGCAAGGACATCGCCTCTACACCTCCAAAGGAGGCACCAACAGATGTTGAAGGCCAACCTGAAAAACAAACTGATTTTAGAAAAAGAGTTGTTTTCAACCTTCCGGATATACCAGAATATTCAGATGACTTTGACTCAGACATTGATGAAGTTAATATCGAGGAAGAAACCTTGCATATCAACACTCCGTCAACTCAAGATTGTGAAAAAGAGAAAAACTGCCACTGTTCAAAGGAACTTGGAGTTATTCAAAACTGTAACAAGTGTGATTGCAGGTTGACATCATTAAAAATGGTTGATTTTCCAGAGCTCAACAGCTTATTTTCAAAAATGAAAACAGAAAGGAAACTTAAAAATGAAAATAAAAAGGCATGTTCCAAACCCATTAAAAGGAAGAAATCAGGCAAAAGAGAAAAAGAATTGCTCGATAATCCATTTGTACAACCAGAAAATGCCAAAACAGAGGGGTTTTTACAGAGAAGTAAAGGTAAAGTGGGGCAAAAAAGAACCCAAGTACAGAACTTTTGGGATGATTCAAGTGACCGGTCTCTGCTTCAATGGTTGAAACAGAAGAATAAGGAAACTCGAAAGAAAAAGATAGAGGAACGAAAGCTCAAAAAAGAGGAGAAGCGGGAACAAAAAATTAAAGAAATTGATAAAATTTGTAGAAAAGAAATAGCATCCAAAAAATTTGATGAATGGATCAAGACAAAAAAGCAGGAAAAAAGAAAGGTTAGACTTGCTTCAAGGGGTAAGGTTAGTCCTACCAACTACATAGGTTCTAAGCACACTGTCTTATACCCTGAGGGATATACAATTCTTGAAACATTTTCTGGTAGCAAGAATAATGACCCTGGCAATAGAAAAAAAATTGAAGAGAAAGATGGAGACTCAAAAAAAGAAAACTGGGTTCAAAATAACAATAGCAAGAAGAATAGAATAAATCCTTCAATTTCACAGCAGCAAAAGTCATATAAAAGTTGCATTCTGATCTCAAACGCAACATCAGCAAAAACCTTTGATTTGCAAAGTACCAAAAATGAAAAACCCCATCAGGCAAATGTTTTGAATGAACAACAAAAGTGTAAAACAAGTAAAAAGAAGAGATCTCAAGACATAGCAAATTCAGTCTTAATCAAAGAGCGACCAGATCCTCAAGGATGTGATGATCCAGGCAATGCCAAAATTTCTTCACAGGAAGAATGTGCAGATGTTCACAGAAAGAAGGGCACTATTGAGAAAAACAATGATCTGCTCGGATTTCTATCAGGACAAAAGCGACCATGGATGGATGGCGCTGATAGAACTAATAAGGGTCTGGTTCAGTCAAAGTGAAATCTTTTTGAGTTGTCCCCATTTGCCCTTTTTGCATTTTTCAAAACATTAATGGCCCCCCTGCTAAAATATTCCAATTACTTTACTTAGCAAGTTAGGCTTGGATGGAAAAAAATTTTATTATGTATAATAGCTCTTCAGCAACGGTATAATAATTACATTGATTCCAAAAGATGCCTGATAATAAAATCTTAATAGGAACATGTTTTGTCCCAATTTTTCATAAAAAAAATTCATTTTCAATGTTGAAGGAAAAGAAACACAATACAAGATAATGTCAACATTGGCAGTCACAAATACTTTGCCATTATGTACCATCAATTTTAAATAAAAAATGTTGAAGTTAAGAAAATATTGATTCATACTTATTTCTGTTTTTTTTTAAATCTACTTCAGCTTAGACCCTAATCTGAAAATTGTGGTGTGTCCAATAAATGGGATATCATTGGTAATTTTTGGTTGAAAATTGAACCATATTTTGAAACCATTTTTATTAAAATGTTAGTAATGAGAATATAGTTTGAGACTCAAAACTGCAGAAAGTTGAGATTTACTTAAGAAAAACTTGTCTGAGAAACAGTCAAAAGTTTAATTATCTTGCATTTTTAGGTCCGAAATATTTGGTAATAAATGCGTTTGGCTGTCATAATTCCTGGTACACTTGCAAATATCAGTACTAGTTGGGCCTACCAACTTCTTTGTAGAACCACATATTCTTCACAATGTACAAATTGAATGTACCTCATTCTTAGCTTATTTGCATTTAACTTGAGCAATGTTAAATCGTAAAATGTTTTTTACTTAGGAATGCTTAGTCATTAAAAAAAATTCTGGATCATTACTAAAATCAATTTTCCAAATTTCAGATTTCAGGTTACAAACAAATCTAGTTCATTTCAGAAGAAACCTTCAAATATCAAACAAAATCTGTTTGTTTTACTGGCCAAAGGAATAAAATTTCATAAAACGTTATCTTAAAATTTTGACCAACACTTCATTGAAACTTCATATGATTCCTTTACATGTAGCTCCCCTTAGAGGTACAAAAAGCCTTTGAATGTAAACACATCCTTTATTATTTCATTTTCTATTTATTTCTGCTTTAGTATTATTTTTGCAACTGTAAAATATGTATAAATTAAGCCAGTAGGAAGAACAAGCTATAAGCAAAACATATTTATTAGAATGTAATAATATTTTGGTTGTTCAAATAAAATTTGATGAATTTCCATTATATTGGATTGCTTCTCATTTTGTGACGTTTCTATTCATCATCCAGTAATCAGTTTACGGTATATATTATAATTTGCAGACTGTAAACAGTGGATTTTGATTAGGAATTCGTGGTTAAACTGGCATTAGAATTTTTAAAAACAAGCAAGAAATTCAGCAATATGCATTTTCTGGAGCAAACCTCCTACAGACAGTTCATGTCTACAGGTCGTAGAAATTTGATATAAACGTTACTCAATTTTTTTAAGATTTCAAACCCAAGAGTATCAATAGCTCGTATGGATAGTAAAAAAGATTTTGAATTTCGTGAAAGTCAGTTATTCCGTCAATTTTCTTAGAATTGATTGTACAATTAAAAGCAAGTATCATGGTTTACTTTTTAGGTTTTTGTTTCCAGGTACCTAGGCCTTTCTTATCCCTAACCTGATTTCCATTCTCTTCTACTTTCTATTGTGACATCCAAGCAATGAACTCAAGCTGGTATGTGTCCGCCCACTATGGCCAGAGGCATATATAGAAAAGTTCTACTGGAATAGTAACATGCACTTAAAATGCATCAAAATATCTGCTCTTGTTTTATTTTCCTGAAAGGCATGGTTCTCATTCTTTGGCCATGCCAGTGTTACAGAAAACAATATCTTTCACATCAATAAGAATCTCATAACTAAACTTCCTATACCAAAGTTCTGAAGAGAAACAATACTCAGGACTAAGCACTTGAATAGACATAATTTGAAATAAAACAATTACATTTAGTGATGAAAAAAGCATAAAATATTAAAATCTAATGACAAAATAAGAGCAAAAACA